TACTACATCGGATAACTAGCGGTTGAAAGAGTCAATTTTTTTCTCAAAGGCGACATAGACTTAACATACTACAAACGACACATAACCAGTCCCCGCAAAACTGCCCTTGGAGTCAACTAAAGGTACAACAGTCGAGTGGCTGGACGCACTACACCTAAGCTTACGAAAGACCAGGAATGTCTACTCAACAACGAAGAAGTTTGCACAAAGAAATCAGTTTGGTTTAAACATTTTTGATAACTTGCAGAAGGATTGTCTAAAACAGATATCGCTTAGACCTTTTACTTAGTTGCCGATTAGTGTCTTCAGGGGAATTGATAACTTTTGACCTTATGAGGTAAATTGTTTCATTTCTCCATTTGTGTGTATTATTCAGAGTTTTATCATTTAATCCGCAGAAGCAGAAAGAGAAAATAAGCCAATGCACCTAATTTCTGTCATTTATTTACATTCAAATGGAGTTTCTAGGTGTTTAGTTTCTTGATACTAGTACGCAAACTAAAGTATGTTGTTGATGGTGAGATTATTCGGGGTACTCTTTGATTAGTCATATATTAAGCTATGATGGAAGGTGAGATAAATATATATCTTTGTTGTAGGCAGACGCGAACAAGCAGTTAAAATCAATATAAAAGACTTAACATGTTTTGTCATACAGAAATCTTTGTTTAAATTTGCATAAGTTCTCCAGTGAATAGTAATTTCTTAGTTATTCCCAAGCTATCAATGTAAATATAATTACTTTTACTATAAACTAATGATGTCTTAGTTAACTTTAGATTTTCGGTTCAATGAGCTGTCACTCTTAGAATTCTTTTCATATCTAAACATAATTCTCTTTAAAAGTAAAAACAAAGATGTGACTTCTAAGACTCGATGACACAGTTAATATGTATGTATGCAAACCTAATGCTTGAAAACTTTAAGATAGTAGAGAACGGGTATCCACCAAGATTGATTGACAAAAACATCAAAGAAAAGCCTCCGTCTCCAAAAATCACAACTATACCGAAGAAAACTCTCTTCGTGAACCTGGAATTCAAAGGTGACATCGAAGCAGAAATTCTTAGAAACCACCTTTCTAAATGTCTGAAGAAGACACTGCAAGTAGCCAACTTATGCATCACTTTCTCCAACGGAGGAGTTATCTAGCCTAACGTTAAGGACAAGATACCCCTTTCGGCCAACTCAGAGTGTATTTATCAGTTTACTTGTTCGTGTGGAGCAAAGTAAATCGGCCGTACACAAAATCAAGTCCACAAACATATTCTGGGACACTGACAAGCTTGGTTAGTCAGAGGAGAAAAGAAGAATAGCACCAGCTCCATCCTCGTTCACCTTGTCAACTGTGGACATCGAGCACCCCTGCTTGCATGAATGCTTCATAGTGCTACACAGAGTTCCTCAATATCGTACAAAGGGACTTCGCATACGCCATTTGTACATAGCTGAATCACCGGCTATTAGGGATCTGAAGCCCGAGTTCTGCATTCGAAAGCATCAAATACATTCCCTCGCCCTACCGTGGCCAATGCAACGTTCTCACTATAATTTTGCTCCCATCTTATTATGTAAGTTTATCATTATTATTACTATTCTTATCAACGATATTTTATTATCACTCTATTACTTTTTATAAATAACATTGCGTTTTCATACAGATTTCATAAAAACACTTTATTGTCCAGAAGGACGACGAAAGCTTCGCGACTAAACCAACCAGCTCAGAGAACACTTTTAATTGCAAATAAGACAACTTTTTTACTTCATTTGTGTGAGTGACTTGATATGATTATGAGCAATAATTTGTGCTCGAACTGTCATCAGTTAATATTACTGTACAACACTGTTTGATTTATCAAAATAAAATCTTATCTATAATGGAGTTATCCTGTACCATAATGCCCAAGTTTTATGCTTATATCACTTTATTATCTCTCCACTAGTTCCTGTCCATTCTACACAATCTTATTGAATAACCATTTCCTCACGCTTTTTACGTCTCCCCAACTTCTGCCTCTTTTCTAACTTCCAATCAGTCAAGCCTTCTAGGTTACACCTTACACTACGTAATACGTTTCTCGATGAAAAATTTTACCAATATCTTAATGGTCTTATGATTTCTTTGCTAAGTATAATCACGATGGTACAGCTTATGAAAATTAATAGCCGATATGAAAGTTTTCTTCGCTGTTTACGTCTTTTTTATGACTGAATATGGTAATATTTCTTTGATTCATTTATTTGTCCGTAATATTTTGCAGAGTTTAAATTGAAATATTTCCCTAGATAGTTTAACACCGTCCTTCAAATGGCTTTAATGCATTTCCCCGCTAATTTTTGCATCGTACTCCGTTATTGTGGTGGTTTAATGACTAGTTGTATACCTTTCAGATGAAATTTTGCATTAAAAATTATCGGTAGCATTATATTATTGAACTGTTACATTCTTATCAGAAAATATTCCTTGATACTGATACCTGTGCAATGTAAACGACTATAGGGGGCATTAATTTCAAAAGTTTAACGCATATTATTGAATTTTCATGGAATCATCTTGGTATATTTTGGCTTATTTATTGAAACGTCCTTCCTAATATCCGTCGGATAAAGATAGCTCCACTACAGAAAAAAATATATGACTTCTTTATTTATTTAGTAAATACCACTTCAATAAAGTTTCGCATACTTTTTGTAGCCGCAAATTTACTTACTTTGGTGCACTACACAATAAAGATTTAAGTTACTGAAGAGTTATTTTTGTAAGGTGAGTAATGCAGCGGTAGTCTGAAGTTGCCATAGTGCTGCTAAGAAGACAGTGTCACCACTACGAAGAGTCGAAGTGATTTATTGCTTCAGAAATGAGGTATACTGTCGGCGTATATTTATTAGTGTCCTGGTCTTTATTTTTCTCGTGCTTCATCCAAAAAAATGAATAACAGTACGTACTAGTGCCGTGAGATTACCGATTTCATTGATCTTGGTGACATCTAAGATCTCGCATAATATTACGCTGTGACTATTTTATTGTACTTTATTCCTACTGAAATGAAACCAGCGACTTCCAAAAGTGTCATGGTTACCAAAATGTAAATGCCATGTTATTTGAATTTAGAATAAATACATACAAACTGAACTTCAATCATATTAACCTAGTAAAAATCCCTATACAACACGATGTTTTTTAAAAGCACAAATAATATTTGACTCATCGTCCTATAGCAGTATAACGTTCATCTAGTCTCATGCTATACACACACACACACACACACACCAGAAAGAAAATCCTCAAATCATATCAATATGATAGTATTTAGACTGTCGATTGGACAATCTACCTGTAGCTATTCATATAAAAAACTTGGCGTATTAACATACATTTTAGACCAATAAGAGTCCAACTTAGATGGTTGAGGGCAATCGGCAGGAAGCCTTGGACCTAGGTTTCTTGCTAGTTGGCACTCAACAGTCAGCAAGGCGTATCTGCAACCTTGAAGGAACTCATGTCCCTTCTGAGATTCGAACCCTCATCACCCAGTGCTGCAGTCAGAGACGTTACCACTGGGCTATTCGGGCTCGCGATTGACCTCCTGTAGGACTGTATTGGATATTTTGATTGGACACTAGTAACTAGTGTGATGTGTCTAGTCCTTTCTTAGGAGTCCAACTAATCAACGGCCAACAAAAATTTGCCTACGTCTATTTTCCTTATTAATCTATGTTAGCGGACGCAGAAACTTGGAGAAATCTACATACGATTAGCGATCATAGGATACTTATTAAACAAATAACTAGTATCACAAATTACTACATATAAGAGGAGTTCATCGAAGTAAAAATGCAAATCCAAACAACCAATTAATGACGTTCGCAAAAAAAACTCCGACTCCTAAAGTCATGGCTCACTGGTAAAAAGTAAGTTAAGACAGCGTATTACGATTTTTGAAATTATTTTAAATAACTTTATAATTGTTCATTTAGATTCAACACTCAACTTGCTCCACGACATGGATACTCATAAACTGTCATGCTTCAACTAGCATTGCTCCTATAAGAAGATGGCAGCCATCACCAACTTCCAGTTGCCAAGTCCTGCAGCCGTGAAGCAATTTAGAAGTAACTGTTACGCGGCACACGTGTTATTTACTGGCTAAGTGGATTTCCCTTCTGAGCAAAATGACGGCGTAAATTGGAAAATGTCAATCAAAACTGAAGCAACGAATACATTCAACGAATTCACTCTATCCTTAAACTACGAGCAAGCATAAGCCTGTTTTGTATCACATCCCTTTACTTTTATAGGATTGGACTGCATGTTACTGATAATCAGATTTGTAATTAGGTTGTTAAAATTGCTGTATTTTGCAAGCGTCTTCACACCTAAAAGGAGTATACTGTCTACAGGATCTCTGAAGCATAGCTCGTCAGCACCTGAGAAATCATAGTCAAACAACCTTACGTCTATTAATGCTTACAATTCATCAAAACAACAGTTCGAAATTCACTATCAAGACGGTAGTGCGGACACACATTCATTCATATTGCATCCAGTTTTGTACTGGGAAAAATTATCGTTATCACAAACCACACGTATATAACTGTAACATTGTTAGTCTCAAGTTACCCGACTAATTACTTCACACTGTAACACAGTCGAAAAAATGAGGACAAACCGAAGTCAAGTAATAAAGCAGTCATGTGTATCCATCATTGTATTAGAGTTTTTTAAGCATTACAGGTTAGTTTAATTGTAAATATTTATGTACAAAAAGAAATCTTGGCTTACAATGATACAAACAAATGAATATGGGCTGTCAAACTAAGACATACATATATAATGAAAAGAATAAAATGCTCGCTTGAAGAGAAGCCAAAAAAAGTACAGCAGATGTACAGTAGAGAAATGCTTACACTGTAAGGAAATAAATCTTATTAACTTTTACACACACACATATGTGTGTGTATGCAAAACACAATCTCAAGTACAGGTGTAATTCTTACTAGTTTGAGTTCCACTGACCACTTATCGAGAGTTTTGTTGGCCTGCAGAGGATAAAGCAATATTAGTTAAATTCTCTAAATACTTTCGAGCTTTTAACCGACGTGAACGACTACATCGATGGTCTAAATCTTTTAGACATTGTTTAGCTTGACGCCAAGCTCCCAATATTTGACGCATACGTTCTTGTAAAACCTGAAGATAGAATACACAACATAATAATTGCCAATAAATAACACAATAACAATTTAGAAAGTCATAATCTTTATGTAGCTTCATCTTAAAAAGTGATTTTCCCTGCTTCTTTATTTTGTTATTGAATATTTTATTGGACTACAAACTTGATAGCTTAGGTTGGACTGGAACAGGTATACGCAAAACTAAAAAACGCCGATTGACACGGAGAACAAACAGTATTATTTTTAGTGACTTCTTCAGGTCCTAAAGTTTGTGCGTCCACATTAGTTGAGAAATAACTGCTACTAACAACAATAATGTCTTCTTTATAAGGTCGAATCATTATCCATCCGAGAATCCCAGCGTTGTCTGCGAAAAAATTGCTCTTAGAACACAATTGAGAACAGACAATTTAAGAACATGAGGAGCAGAGAAATCCGATTGTAGAACAAACTGAACTATTTCCTCTTAGTTTATGACTCTTTAGTAGTGTGTGTGTGTGTACTTATGATCACGTGAAAGATTGGAGTCAGGGCTACCAAGCTTTATAACTCTATAAGCATGCAACCATAAAACCAGTGAGTTTGAAATTCAACAAGTTTATGATTTTCAAAGGAAGGGAAAAATGCCAAAATGAAATACTGTTTAGTATTTTAATATTTTCAGTATGCTTATCTGTTGATTATTTCATATGTGTAACACAACCTTACTTGAAATCAGTCAAATGCTCACAGACAAAAAACCAACATTGTATCCATTAAAGTCAATATAAGCCGTTTACTAATATCCACATCAAGCCATCAGTTGCTTCGTGAATTGTGGCAGTTGCATGAGATTTTATTAATGCTTAAAATCTATCAGAGATCAGCACTATTGAATCCGTCAGGTTTTTAAACTAAGTAATCAGTTTGATTTTCATGTTAGTTCGCGCTGGTTCGATTATAAACAACATTATAAGTGAAATAGTATCATTCGATGTATGGTAGTATAATATATGGGATGTGATTTGTATACTTGAAAAGTGTAATCCTATTTTCAAGTATTGGTTTTGTAGGGATTTTGTTTGATTGCATGGAGGATTTCATCATGAGCTGACATCAGTTAGAGAGCCACTGGAAAACCCAGAAGTTAGAATTCAAGGACCATTGGATCGGGTCCCAGTGGCTCAATGGTCTACGAGCTCGCCTTGTAACCAGGAGGTCCCTGGGTTTGAATCCCTCTGGGTGCCTACTGATGAAGAGTCCCAAACTAGAACGAAACAGCCATCCAGTACTCCCAGGTTTTCCAGTGGTTCTCTAACTGATGTCAGCTCATGATGAAATCCTCCATGTAATCCTGTTTTATAGCAGAAAATAAAAGGAAGCATGATAATGAGGTTAGAAAATCTTGAATTTACAGGATTATTCTGATGCAATGATAACAGGTTATTCCACAATAGTGTCCAGAATATAATTCTGAACACAGGCGATCTCTCTGTCCAACTGCATAGCAAGCTGGATAATACAATTATTCAAAACGGGTCTGAGAAGATTCCAGGCATTGAAAGAGATATCCACTGGGACCTTGTCGCATTGTCCGCATTTTTAATTGAACTACCAAAATTAAGGCAGAAGTCAGACACAGTATGTGTAAGCCAGTCTAAGTATTTATAAATCTTCATCATTTTATGCTTGTTCGAAGATGTATAGTGCATGTTAGCGAAAGTGCGAAGGAAGCAAGATTTCAACAGAACAAGACTTAGTAAGTGAATGTTTAAATTGATGTTTGAGTCAAATAACACAGTCGGTGGCACAGAGGTTAAGACTCTCGCCAACCATGCACATGGTCGCGGGTTCGATCCCCTGCCGACGCACACCTGATATCAACGGTCGGCCTGCGAAATTTGGGCTGTCGGTATCACATGCTGAAAATTCCATACTTGTACTAAAATACTGTGTGGAATCAAGCTATAATAAAAAAAATAATAATAAAAAAATACGCATACCTTATTCGGTATACGATAACCTAAGCCACTAACACAAGTGATTAGCGCATTCAGTCAACAAATGTGAAAATCACTTTAACCAATCAGTTAAAAATAAGACAGATTGAAAGCATTATAAATGTATTCTATGAAGATAATTTCCTGTTTGCATATAACAGACAAAAAATTATAAAAACTGAAAATTTTGATACAAAGAAAAATCAGAAAAGAAAGAATAACTTACGTGGCATTTCATATCAGAAGAGAGATCATTAAGGCCTGGAACCGGAAGGAATGGTCCACCAAATCGTCTAAGGCCAAGTGTTGGACGATTATTTGACTGACTTGTAGCTGCTTTAGAACCACTAGGTACCGGAGCTGAGACAATTGTTCCACTTGCTGGGTGTGGAGATATAGGAGGATAATGGGGTGAATTGGTATTGAGAGCTGATGAGTTCTCAGAGATCTAAAAATCATAACATAACATAAAACATATATAATCATCTAAGAATACGATATGAATAGCTCGTTATCTTCCGAGTCATAAAGTTAATACTTACAACTTTTATGCAACTACACAGTTTAATTAGTATTCAGCTATGCATTTACTCATGTTTTTAGTAAAGTAATTCTTCAGATGATACATAACTTATTTATTTGTCTTTACACATACACACATATATATAATCCACTTGTCTACTTTAATTTCTGATAATCTTTTATTTTTTTAAGTGATCTGAAGAATTACTCCTGTGCAGCACTTATGCATTTCGTTGGTGATACACTCTGTGTACAGATTTGAAATTTGTAGGAACAGATGAATATGCACTGGTAGTTTCACAATATGACAGTGAAGAGTAATAGTTCGGTAGACGTTACATAAGACAATGAAAGGTGTAACTGTCAAACGATGTGTGAGGATACACGTATAAAACAACCTGAAAAATGACCCGAATATGTCTGTCTGTTTTCGACATTGAACTTTTCACCGATGTGCGGCAGTTCAAGTCGCCACACTCCATGTAGCACACAAAGCAAGAGAAGAAAGTAGGAGAAATGCATGATATCTACAGTAAACAAAGGTGTGAGACAAAGGAATAGTGATAACGAAGGACAAAACAGTTTCATTGGGAATCATGAGTAACAAGGAGTGGATGCACTGTGCCAGCCATTGAGAACGATTTTGAGCCATGTCACCGATTGTTTCCAACCATTGGTTTTTACCGTCCCGAGGACCCCAACCAGGAAGTCTACATCTTCCTACGTGGCTTAGACTAACTGTTGTGGATTTCATTAACTGGTGCCATGTTTTCGTTTGACCGCCGCTAGCTCTTTTCCAGCCTTACCCTATATCAGCTAACATTGCCCATCGAGGAAGGTGATGACTAGGCATACGTAACACATGTCCTAACCATCTCACTTGATGTAATTTCACATTCTTGTCGACTGATTTCCCCGCCTTACCTCGCACTCGACGCCTAACCTCAATATTGCTCACCTCATTATACGACTTCACGTGGGAGATAGAACGCAGACACCTATGATCGAAGACAGCTAATCTTTTCATGTCTTCCGCTCTCAATGGCCAGGTCTCACAGCCATAAAGGAGGACGGAGCGGACTGCTGAGAAGTACACACGCCCTTTGGTCCATAGTCGGATATCACGTCTACGCCAGAGACGGCGTAAACTGGCATATACGAAACTAGCCCTCTGTATTCGTGCTGAGATTTCGTCAGAGATCAACCCGTTGGGGCTGATGGTACTTCCCAAATAAGTGAAGCGGTCAACGTGCTCTACCACTTCACTTCCTATTTCTAAACTAAGGGTCGGTGTAGTCTAATTCTGCAACATCATCTTACATTTTACAGGGGCGAATCACATTCCAAACATACGAAGATTGCTGCTCAAGGTGTTCAGAAGACTCTGCATTTTGTCAGCTCCCTCGCCTAGAAGGACTATATCATCCGCATATTCTAAGTCAACGAGATTATTCCCTGGTAGCAAGTCAATCTCTGAGTCGCTGAAGTGAGTTAGGGTTAAGTCCATTAGTACATCTATGATGAAGTTAAATAGAAATGGGGATAATGGGCATCCTTGACGGACGCCACTAGTCATCACCACTTCAGATGACAACTCGACGTAAGGACCCGAATATATAGATAAATAAACTGAATACCAGATGCCTACACGTTTGGATCAGATCAGTTAAAATATGACTGACAGTAATAATACTACTTCTATTTTTTGAGTTGATAATTATCCAAAAAATGCATTGAGTACAAGAGACAACATACCATAACACGATGAGAGCTTGAACGATTTCGCCTCTTTCCTCTTCTACTGGTAGTATCAGTTGAATTGCTGTTACTGCTGGATCGTCTGACTCGACTGCGAGATTTCGGTATATTTATTTGTTCTATTTCAGTAATTTTATCTCTTTGTTCATCAGTAACAGGCTCTATGGTTGGTTTATTCTCAACAGTTTCATTAGTCTCCTTAACTTCAACAACTTCATTAATTGGTTGAGTTTCTTTATCAGGCACGGTATCTACTGTTGCAATTATATCGACAGGTTGATCAGATGAATGTACAGAATGGGGCACTTCTCCTAATTCTTCATCTTCGTTGCTTGACAGCTCTTGATGAGATTTTACCGAAGACATAGTTAGATCGTATAACATTCCATCCATGGGATCTGTGCTCATAGTTTCGACAGAACTTCGATCATCTTCAGTATCATTATCACCTAATATCTTTTCAACATCTTCCTCTTCCCTTAATACTTCCACTTGTTTATCAAGTACGATTGTGGGTTCAGAGATTATGCTTTCGCTTTGATATTGATTTATCCCAACATCAATGTCTTCTGTGTCATCATAGAGAACTTTGGGAGACAGATTTGGAATACTATGATTCGTAGGGCTTTCAACGGATTCTTCTTTTAGAGATATGTCCATTTTTTCCAAATCAATACATTCACAATTCTCACTAACAGATTCAGTATCATTTTCATCATTCACATTCTTCTGAGTAGGCATCGCGTCAAGCTTGCCTATCACTTCACTATCAGACAAATCAACCTGAGGTTGTTGCATTTGAGATAATATGGGTAAGTCTTCCATTTCTGTTGAAACAAAAAAAAATAATAAAAGTTGGTTAGGGTTGGACAGTAGAAATAAGGGCTTGAACAGAAATTCAAATTGCAATTAGAGTATTATCTCATGGGAACAAAAACATCTTTTCAATACAATGGTCATGGATACAAATCTATTCAAAATTGTTCAGCTGAGGATGGCAGGGTATTTATGAACTTCACTTACAAAACAACAGTCACTAGAAGTGAGGATGGGAGATCACAATAGTATATCACATCAAAAATTGTCACAGTTCGAAAAAGCACACAGAATACGAGAACAAAAATAGAATCATCCTACGACAGAAAAACATGAGTTGGGAGCTGATAAGTGACAAAGAGTATATACAAATGGCTCATTGAGTGAATTTGAGCCACCTCACCAAGAATCTTTAAACAATGGTTCATAACATTCTGCGAATGTAAAATAGGCGACCTACACCTTCCACCATAGCTCAGACTGACAGTCAATGACTTCAGAGATTGCATTCATGTTTTAGTATGACAACCCCTGACTCTTATTCAATCTAACACTACTCCAGATAATATTACTCAACACAATAGAAGTAGTCTTCTGTAAAAGTAGGGATTTAGTATCAAAGAGGGACACGGTCAATTTCATCTGTGTTTCAAGTGTGGTTTGTTCCATCTAAGTGTGAAGCATTGTTGCAAGATTGGCGGGATCCTGTACCTGATGGTAAACAGAAGTGATCAATAAGTTCTTATATCTAGACAGTTGTGAGTGTCCGTGGAAGTGCGACGAATGTAGTGAAAGCTGAGGAGACATATGACAACCTGTGCCACCTCTAAGATCGTCGTGACGCTAGTCTGGCCAGCAAAGATATTATGATATTATGATTTAGTGCACTCGGTTTTACTACACGCATGTGAAAGCTGATCTTTCCAAGCTGACAACTCTGTGTGTTCGATACTAGCTGACTCGCTTTCAGTGGCATTATCATTCAAGTAATTCTCAGGTCTAACAGTGTGTTTGAACATGATGACGTGTTGGGAGACCAGCTTTATGGGTTTAGGCATGTACTATGAATGACATTCCAGTCAATCCCACACCGTTCACAATGTCCCAACCGACAGACTGAGTGAAGAAAGCGGAAGGGGTAATCAGCCTTTAAAATGGCACCATGGGATGAAGGATAGTCGTGTCAGGTTAGCATCTGTTAGTGCATAAAGACTGCATTGTCCGAGAGATAGTGCGAATCAGTGACTCGATATGTTTTCAGATGTGACCAGGAATCATAATCTATGGAGAACATGTCGCAGTTCCTTTATTTCCTTTGTTTCTGAAAGAAATACAGAGTTGTGGAGATACGTAGGGCACTTGAAAGGAATACAAATAAACGCAATACGAAGTTCAGAAGTACCACAACAAGAAAATCTGTGCAAATGGTGCGTTGAAAATAATGTACACATAATTTGGCTGTATACAGATACCAATTTCTAAATAAACATTCTTTTACCAAGTATTTTGTCTTCTACCGTTTCACTACTACTAATCAAATCAAGCAATGAAAAATAATGGAATCATTTTGACGAAGTTGGAGAGTTGTATGAGTTTTTTGGTAGGATTATGAGCAATAAATTGTGCTCGAGACGTGGTCATCAGTAAATATTACAGCGTGTGTTTTAATGTTTTTGTTTCGCCTATCTTTTGATGCTCATACTGTACCAGGTTGATGTTTCAATAAATAAACAATAATATTTCCATGCAAGAAAAACCATAATCCTATACACTTTTCAAAAATTATCAGAAATATAAACAAACTCCATGCACAGAATAAGCATTACCTGTGGTGGTAATTGATGGTGACACTTCACTGGCATTTTCAATCTCGTCAGATTGCTCTTTGAGTTGGGTTGATTTATGCTTAGAAGATTTACTAGCATGAGTTGTTGAAGCACTACGATTCGATGGTGTAGGGGCGGCAGTTTGTAAAGTTGAACCCGGTGGTGTATCACCTAATAATTGTCTATGTTGACTACGTGTTAGCCGTGGAAGTGCATCGTTAGTACCGTAAACACTTTCTGAACTACTGTCAATAATTTCATTGTGTAAATATTCAGAAGTCAGATTATTATTGTTATTATCTTCATGCTCACTGTCTATATTCGAACTAGCTGAACTAATATCAGACATAGTTGCAGTAGACTGTTTAATGGGATGTTCACGTTTCTTATGTGAACTAGTAGTAGATGAATTAGTTGAATTTCGAGCTGAACTACGCAATCGTGAACGTGACGATTTACTAACACTTTCAAGTTCATCATTATCAGAAGAAGAAGAGGAAGAATCACCATCAGAAATATCTTCAATATACGGTGATGGATGGACATATTGATTATTTGATTTATTCCCTGGATAATTTTCATCAGTCGACTTGGATAACTTTTTAGATTTTATCTTACTTTTAGATTTTTCGTTAATCCTACTAATTACTAATTTTAGATTTGCACCGGTTGAACTAGTGAAATCTGATTGAGTAACCTTTCTTTCTAATCCAACAGATCTAAGCACATCATATATTGTTGTCGCAGTAGTCGTCGTACTAGTAACAACAGCAGGAGTGGAGTTGCTAGTAATGGTAGTAGGAGCAGTAGTACTGATAGCAGCAGAAATGCCAGCAGTGGTCACAATGGTGGTGATAGAAGTAGTCGTAGTTGTTGTTGTTGTAGTCAGTTTCTTTGTAGGATGTGAAGTAGTTTTAGTCTCTTTCTTTTTGAATAAACTTTGTTTAATAGAACTTTCTTCAGACCTACTTTCTCTCTACAATAATATAGAAAGGAAAAAAAGAGAAATATGCTACTAGATATACTCGGCGACAATATAAGAAAATAGACATTATGACACTGATTAAAAGAAACAATCGTTGAGTAAAACTTTTAATGTACTATGTACTTTTTCGTGGTAGAACATACACCTTGTTGATGATCACCGATTATAACTTACTTATAGTAGTGCACACAATGTCAGCTTACCAATTGTCAAGAACCGACATAAATCAGACGATTGTTGAGAACTGAAAGTGTACCGGACAAATGTTTAGGACTACTAAGCAATCCACACACAGACACACACACACGCATGAATCAAGGACCTAGAAGTAGTGACCAGCTGAGCTCGTTTGTCAGTCAGTGCGTTTGAAATCAATGAACCATGAATTTATGATACAGTGTGGTACCGCCAGTCAAGTTTCACACAAGGACAAAAAACAAATTGTCTAAAGCTTTTTGGTTTTCACTAATTCTCTGGCTAGTGTCGATGAAATCTACAATGAAATTGATCACATCCCTGCTAACTCAGTATTTGAATACCAATGCAATCTGTTAAAAGGCATTCATATTTTATTATATAAAATACTTACTAACTTCAGTATACCTTCATCCACCAAAAATAAACTATGAATATTTAAGTGTTGTTTACCGTGGATTTCATAAGCGTCCTAACCGCTGTGCCACCGACGCACACAGTCAGAAACGTTACCATTGAGCTATTCGGCCTCACGATTTATCTCCTATAGGACTATATTGGACACTTTCTTTCAGTTACTAGTGTCCAAGATACTATATTCACTGTACAAAGACTGATGAAACAACCTAACGACTTAAACGTGGTTAACTGGAGTCCACAGTTCAACATCATCACCTCAAAATTTTAGGTAGAGTTTTAGAACTGTTGTCTTTTCACTGAATAGATTCTACTATTGATATACCATTTACATTAATGAAAGCATTAAACAGTTAATAATAATATTTTTAGTTGGATAATATTTCAAAGACGTATCCCTTACCAATAGGCTGTATTTGTCCACATCTTCGTTTCTAGTTGTCACAAAGGAACCTGATGACGATGAAGATGAGGAGGCAAATGAAGGAATCACTACTGGTGTTGTCGTTGTTGACGTCATTGCTGTTGTCTGTGATGACAATGGTGCACAGCTAGAGCTTAGATTATCAATAACAACAGACAATTTATTATTCTCCTTTAATTGAATTGATTTTGACATTGTAGAAGGTAATGTTCTGGTAATGTTCAGCTTATTAAAACAATCCTCAAATAGGTTCCGACTGCTCATTCTTTCTTCTTGTTTAATTACTTTTCTTGGAGAAATTTTCGAATCTTTGTGAACAGCTTTAGGTTTCGTTAATTTTGAAACCAACTTTTTAGCTGTGAATGTACTTGATACTGACATTAGTTTGGATTCTGTAAGCAGAAAAAAATTAATTAATTAATTAATTAGTCAATTAATACCAATGACTTAACATAGATTGTTCAAGTTATTAATCATTCCAAGGCTATAACCTGCATACAACACATCTGACCTGATGACTATCACTATTCGACCATTCAGACCAAAGAGATGGACTAGGGTTTGAATTGAAAACTTATAATACCGCCATACAGTTAGAAGGGAGTTTTAATTTCTTCAAAAACTGCACTACTCGTATTAGACAAAACTACTTACAAGTGGAATAAACAAATTGGCCTAATTTATTAAGATTATAGAAATGTCCATTGTCATTTATTATATTGTCCTTCCTTATTACTATTCTTCTTCCTTCATATTTCTGTTTATTATTTCTGTTTTGACTATCTCTCTCTTTCTCTCTCTGTCTACTCTCTTATCTTGTTTTGTGTGCTACAACATGGAGTGTGGCAACTGGAACTGCTGCACACCTGTGCAAATTTCTATGCTGAAAGCAGCGTCATTTATTAAATTCATATTCACAGGGGTTTTAACTATTATTGCTATTTTGTTTGTTATTGTGCAATGCTACAGCTCAAATTATCAGTTCGTCGGTCTACCTATCAGGTTGCTAGTACCATCACTTCTCATGGAATACGTGTGTTTAGCTTTTTTTATGTATAAACCTGCATATAACTGCTCAGTCTTACCATGTACCTATTTATTGTCCCTATCTGTTACTACTATAACCTATTTTACCCAGTATTTAATTTTATTCACATGACTAAACATCAAGTCAGTTTTTATCAGTTCTTTCGTTATTCATTTGAGAAGATTCTTATTTCATTTTCTTGAAAAGTATTTCAAAATTCTTATGTAAAACACCATTGCTAAGATTTGTTGGTTTCTTGAAAGACTTTAGGATACGTGAATATCCTCATTATAGTGATTATTTGTTAATAATATGAAGGCCCTATACAGGTAAATCTTTATTCTGCCAAACAATTTCAGATTCAGTAACACAGTAACGATTTGGTGGGAACTTACTAAGGGTGATTATAATATCGCATTTGCCACTTCATTTCAAATCTTGTACTTAGAAATGAATGCTATAAAATCTCAAGAATTTCACAACTCCAACTGCGTTGTTTTCACTGTAATCTGTGAATCTCCAAAGTCTTCGCTCTAACCCTAGTTATTACAGGTCCGGGTACACAGTCAATCCACCGTAAGGCGACATGGTGGGAAGAAAGGATGGCCACCGATTCCAAACTTCAAAAGACAAATATTTCCTTGATAACCGAGAAAATTTCCGTTCAGGTAACGAGCACAAGTCATTTGCATAAATTGTTGCCAAGGTGACACATCAAACAGTAAGAAACAATAATAACCCTTTTTTGTTAATTTCTTAATATCGTCATCAATATCCGATAAACCACGGTTTGAACATATTGATACTGATATGAATCCATGAGTGAGTTTTACAAATGACTTCCTCCTAAACAGATCATTAGACAAAGTGGACACAATCCACTGTAAATACTACTTTTTATAGCAATAACATAATGACAGAATTAAAAAAAGCATTTACTTCTCCTACTCAACATTCACTCTTTCCCAATCTATAGCTACTTCAGCAAACTTTGCACACTGATAAAAAAAACACGGTCTCACATGTGTAAACTCATATTCCAAGTCTTCTCAATTTATGAAGATTCACTACCTCTTCATCGATCGAATTAACTTCCTAAATTATGCTCTATGATTAATCTCAAGAATACTTACTAAGTTGCAGTACCTAAGGTGATCATATGTCATGAACCTAACATAGATCAGAGTTGTCTGCTATGCAACACATACATCGGGCCATTTAATGACTAGTTGGATATCACTCCTGAATAAGAGATGAAACAGGTTAAGAAATGTTGACCAAATCTTTTATGTACTTTCTTCCAATGTTGAATGTAAACACTAAATTCCAAATTACCTTAAGGTGGTATTATTAGTGAACAGTACAAACATCGAATTTAATTGGTGGATGGTGACTAGCAGTGGAATCCAGGATGCGCATTTAGTCCTATTTGGGACTCGTCATCTGGATTTCCCAGTGAGTGATGATGTTCCCACCGAGGCCTGAACCCAGTACCCATAGTTTCAAACGCCAAAGCGTTATCCACTAGACCACTTGGGCCACGGGAGCCCCCTTTTGTGCAACGGGTCATATTAATTTAATTGAATTTCAGATTTTCCCGTCGATTGATGCTAATTAAATGCCCAGACATCGTCGAAGCATCAGCACAAGAAGCCGACATGTCAACCTGAGACCGAGCACTTCGGTCCAATCAATCGACGGGAATATCTGAAGTTCAATTCAAGTACAAACATCGTATCCTTTTTAAATTTTACAAATAGATCAGTAACCTACAATACAAGATTTGAAAAATCTTAATTTCAAAAAATATACAGATCAACTGAATTTCTTTAAAACAAAATATTATGACATAACAACAGGAGTATTGAATCAATTTTAAAAACAAAGAAATTTAATAAACAGTAACATACTAAGAGTCGGTGATAACTTTGATGAAGACTCTGAACTAGTGAACGCTTTACGCGGTGATTTTTTATTGACAACTTTACGTTGACTGGTTGTTGTTGCTGCTTTTGTTTGCAATTCATTATTAGTGGATTGATGATTGTCAACAGATCGTCGTTCACTGTCAGTAGTCGATAGTGCATCAGCTACTAAGCGTTTAATTTCTACTGTTGGAATGAATTCACTTATACTATAGGATTTTTGATTAGTAGATTCATCTAAAAGATTTTCAATTTTCAATTTTTTCGATTGTATTTGTGTTTTAGAAGAAGGTGTCGAAGAGCTTGTACCAGATATATCAGAGTTCAATGATAGATTTGATTGTGAGCGTTTAACAGGCTCATGTTTTTTAACTGATTTTCGGTCGGTTTTGCGATCACCTGAATAGTATTAATAATAGTGATAACAACGAAAAATTTGATGATTAAAAGTTCAACCCAAAAATAATGCATTTATCAGTGAAAAACTAATGATAGCAAAGTTTAGTCTCACGATCAGACTGACATTTATATATTTAGCACTTGTTTGAATTTCGACATTTGACTGTAATTTTACTTTACCATAAATCGTATGGCAGTTTGAACTGTTGTAAACTTCTGTGCAAAGTTCCGTGTTGAAACACAGTCAGTCAATTTTCGTATACTAGACAGATGAATTCGCCATAATTATGACAAGAAAAAAGCTCTAAGGTTTAAGAAGAAATCAAACTATCAAAGGATCTGTATTTTAACTGAAACGCATCACTGACTGTTGAAACAAGTTAGTTAGAACTTCGTTACCTGATACAGATCTAGCGTGCACCACCAAAGTATCAACTAGGCTTTTTAGTGTGTCTGTGTGCTGATGACATTAGCCAAACAATAAAACTAAAGGATGTAAGGCCAGGATTCGAGATGGGAAAAGTCAAGTGCTGAAGAAAATGAGCCACAACTTCAAAGTCATAGAAATAAAGTTAGTTCTGTGTAGGTAGCAGTTTTCTAATGTAGAAAAAAGCCATGCTACCAATTTTCTTTGTTATCAAGACAACAAACGAAAACGATTTGATGAAAATTGTTTGTTAAACATCAGATACATTGAAGAGTGCGCAACTGTTTTATATGTGTAATACTTATGATTCACATCTATTTAGCTTTGATGCGCTAGTTGGTTAATTTAACTGAATTGTTATCAATTACAGAAAATTAAAAAAGGGCGAATAATAAAGAATCAAACTGAATAAGTCTGTGCACTCTCTCTCTCTACTTCTTCTTCTTCATGAAACACACAATTACCTATATACAATAACTGCTATCAGCACTAAATAAGTGCTGTGCAATAATAAAATTTACTAAAATTGATAACAACGTGACTCAGTAGTTAGCAGATGTGAGAACCTGTTACTTACTAGTACATAGAAGAGTTCCTAAACCGAAGAGCCATAGCTGCATTACATAACAAGTAGACTGTGAATAATAATGTGAGAAACATATTAAGCAATCAGTAAATTATGACCAAAGGACGTAATTATTATTATTATTGTTCCCTTGGGTTCCTAGTGGAACATTGGGCTTCAACTGCACGTCTCCACTTGCTTCTGTCTTCTGCTGTACTTTTCACTTGCATCCATGTTAGTCCATACTGTTTCAACTCTTCTTCACACGATCTCCTCCATGTCACCCTTGGACGACCCACTCGCCGCTTCCCTTTCGGGTTCCACTCGAGCTATGGCCTGACGCGCGATGTCACCTAACGGCCTCCTCAGCGAGTGTCCAATCCATCTCCACTTTCTCCTGCATATGTGTTGGGCGATTGGTTCTTGTTTTGTTTGTTCCCATAGTTTCTTGTTAGTGATCCTTTCCGGCCATCTGATCTTGAGTATAGAGCGAAGACAGCTGTTGGTAAAGGTCTTCAACCTGTTGGAAATATTCTTTGTGACCCGCCAAGTTTCTCATCCGTATAGCAAAACTGACTTGACATTTGTATTGAAAATCCGAATTTTGTTGTTGATGGTGAGTGACGAAGATTTCCAGATTGGTTTCAGGTTGATGAATGTGTTTCTCGCCTTCCCGATTGTCGATTTGACATCCTCGTCCGTTCCTCCTGTAGTTGAGACAATGCTCCCTAGATAAGTGAAAGAAGTAACCTCTTTCAAATCCCTCCCGTTGATGGTGATTAGTGGTGAACGTTGCTGCTGCTGTTGTTGTTGTTGGCTGGTTATTTTCATAACCTCCGTCTTGTCTATGCCCACCTGGAATCCTGTCTTCTCTGGCTGCTTCTTCGACCAGTTTGTCGGTTTTCGCTTGTAAGTCTTCGATTTTGTGTGACAACAAACACAAATCATCCACGCGCGAAATCCAGGTCTTCTTGGTTCTTCACGTCGGTCCAGGATATCCCTGTCTTCTCGTTTCCCACTGACTGACGCATAATCCAGTCCACCACAATTAGGAATACCATTGGTGATAATAAGCACCCTTGTCTGACTCCTGTGTTTACTCCAAACGCCTCGATGATTTTTCCCCTGTGCGGATCACTTGACATGTGCCGTTGTCGCACAGCTGTTGGATAAGGTTGATGAATATTTGGGGTACGCCGTAGTACTGTATTTTTATTCTTTATATAACAATAGTTAAACTAGATAAATTTAACCAGCTGACTTCAGATGATGGCAAGGATAAAAGGAGTGACTTTTGCCGAATTTCTTCGTTTCGTGCTTAAAGATGGATAAGTTGGTAAGAAGTTTAGAAAGTCAGATAGTCTTAGAATAGACTATTTCTTAAGTTATTGTATAATGACTCTACTGCTATTCACAAATTTGACATAATTCATGTCTGAACATACATTAAAAGTTAACTGCATTTAATTGTGAATTACAACAGCAGTTACATTAATACCATTTGTTTAAAACAGGACAGTACAGTTGTGTACTTAAGACTTCCTCTTATACAGTAAATTTAACTAAATTCATTATCTATGTGTAGCAATATATAAGCACAAAGTGACTTACGTGAAGTTGTTTTCGCCTTTTTGACAACGGAATCTTTGTTCAACTGTTTGTTTTCTTCAGAAATATTCGTCTTATTAACATGTGGATGCGTTTTAGGCAGATGAAAACGTGACAACAGAGGTAATTTCGATAATCTCTGTGAACAAGACTCATTTCTTCTTTTTGAAAGGGAAGATGATTTCCGAGATGAAATTTGCCTACCAGGTTTATGTGATGAAAACATTAATCGACGACGTCGAATTATGGGTGCTGTTGTAGTAATGTTATCAGATGCTGTTTCAGTAGTTTGACTTTGATTACTGTCATCATCTTCGTGTTCATTATCATCTTCTAAAGTTGACTCATCTACCGCTTCTTTATCTGCTGATTCCTTTTCATCAACTTTTATACCTGTTGAACTTGATAACTTAGTGCAAATATCTTTTGAAAGTGATTCATTTCGAATTTTTATTGTATTACCTTTTCGAGGTTCATGAACAATTGGACTGAGAGAAGAACAAGATGGTGGACGACCTTCATCTACACCACGACCCCACTCTATCACAGAACTAAACATAAGAGGGAAAATGTGAATAGTTTATTGAGTTAAATGCAACACAATGGATGTATAATGGTCCAGGTAAATAAAAAGCAACACGTGAGCACATAACTAGAAGTATAAGAGCCTACTCTAAAATAAAAATTAGAAAAAGTTTTGTCTAAAGGATTGTTTACTATACATGTATGTCGTACATCTAAGACTCATCTAACACACTTCAACCTATTATATTTGTTTTCTTGGTTTAATTCGATTATTATCCATTGCTTTTGTATTCAACATCTAAAAAATCGGATATTCATTCTACAATCCTCCCTGTACATCGACTTTATGTTTTCTTGTATCAGTAGAATAAAGTTACAACTCTAATTGTCGTTAAGTTCCGGTGAAAAAAAAATTCAACAACACAAAGTAGGAACTTGTTCAGTTCCTTTAAAAAACTTCAGGCAAACTTCATGAACATGGACATCTACATCCTAAGCTAACATATCATGTAATTGAAAGGGTCAGTACAAAATTAGAGATTATAATTTCTTACATTATACGAGACCTAGGAACAACTTCATCGTGTCGTGTATTCCAACCCATATAGTGCACACGATATTGTATATCGCCGACACCTGCCCAAACAGCAGCAGCAGCAGAAGTTGGTATTGGTGATGGCTCGCCAGCACTAGCAGTCTTTCGACTACAAATACTTGGTTGAGGACGTATATGTTTTAAAACTTTAGCTTCATACGCGACATGATCACCACAACGAACTCGAACACGCGATCGAACAGGAATAATCTAGAAAAAGCCGAGATAATAGAATGATTTTTTTTTAAACCTAAGCGAAAACTTAGATATAACGATGACACTTGCATATTTGTACAATTGTTCATATCAGGAGGAAGAATACGGTAAGTAATTTTGCGGGTAGGCTTAAAATTTCGGGCAGGAACGGTAAACTCATTCATAAATTAGTGAACTTGTATGAACTTAAGACTTATCGACTGCGTAATCTAGCTTACTGTCTCCAGCAATCAGTAGTATAAGGTGATGCAAGATTACATTAGAAGAAAATAAAAGTAGTCAGAATAATCAATGTGAAGTTATCCTATGATAAAAGGAGGCAGATCAAGATTACCTGGTGGAGATTAGCAGAATGATAAGGAACAATCGCTGTTTAATGTTAATGATGAAATGACTTCACATTTTTTACAACGGATGAGCTAGATTCATTCTTTAACACCTCCGAAATTCCGAAAGTTTTCAATAATCTTCATTAGATTATTTCCTCTCCCACATTCATTATAGTCTATTGAAGCATAGTTGTATTTTAGTTCACTACTTTCCTGTTATTTTGATATGTAGAAACCTGATGGGCATTTTTCGAAGCTGATTTATCTATTTGCTTAAAAGTAGCTTCTAATTACAGAAATGGTTGGTCTGGGTTCAAGTGCTACAGAGAATATTCAAGTGTTCAAGTGGTAGATGCACCTTACGGTAAGCATAAAATCTTGATACCCAGTTATTTGTTAACACCTAGAATCAGGTGTATACCATAACATTGTGTCTTTTAATTTCGTAACAGTATTACACAATTGATTGATATACTTCATGACAGCAATTGCAACCTGTCAGGTTGATTGCTTAGCATATGATGACCAATTTGTACGAGGAAACATATTTTATGTGGAGTTATTTGACCTACACAGTCACATTTCCACAAGATTATTACAAAGGTGAAAAGTGAAACCTGAATATTTTCGATTCAGTACATGCATCTATGCTGCCGTTTACTAAGGCTTGCGTAGATCAATGAGGTAGGTTGTAATTCCACCATAAATAAAAAACGGTGGTACAGTGAGCAAACACTCCAAATCTATGCATATTATTTGCATCCAATAAATATGTTTTGAAAAATACATATCAGCACCTGAAAACGGTGCAATGAGAATATGCATAAACACTTCGAAATCAGGTATTCGTGAACATATATGGAAAATAAGCTAAAATAACACGTAAACGTACACGATTAGATAGGTCTCCCATAGCACCAGTGCATTCTCTACCGAAGTTTATCAGTGGGATATCTGTCATTGTACTGTCATATGACCTTTTACGAAATGCAGATTTTGATGAACTATTTGATGAAGCTGAAGAAATAGGCCTATCTGCACCGTCAGTTGCAGATGCAGTCTTAGACAACTTATCATCTGATAAATTAGACTTTCGTAACGGTGTAGCTTGACAGGTGTATTCATCATCTACGCCTTTGAGATAAGGAGCTAATTGTTGGTCAAGAGCCTGAAAGTATACAAAATTATAAATGAAATTATGAAAATCGAAATAACAGACAAAGTAGGTGATGCATGTCAGATGAACGAAAATATGAAAGAGCAGAAAACTTCACACAACGTCAACACAATTTACAAGATTACCAAAAAAATCACTTACACAATTTTTATCAGAAGCTCGCGTTTTACTGGGGGCAGTGGTGGTGGTGGTGCTAGTAGTATTGGTAACTGCTGTCGTTTTGCTTTCTTCTGTTGATGAAGCTTGTGTTATTTCAGCCGAATCCAAAATACCAGCCTTCACATCCACTTCTAAATTACCAGAATCTTGGGATTGTTTCTCGCGTGAAGAAACTAACTGCACTTTAGCGCCATTAGTAGATGCAGAAGTACTGACAGAAGCTGAACTATTCGTCGTAGGTGCGGAGGTTAAACCAGTAACTTGAACAACAGGACTTGCGTTTTGTACTGAAGAAGCATATCTCGGTCTAGAAGATGGAAGCTCACAAAGATTTGTGCCCAATTTCTTCGTAATGTCGTCCCATGGATACAAATATCTGTGTAACAAACAAAACATCCATTAGAATACGTATATATATATATATATATATATATATATATATAAACAAGAACAATCAAATACAAAAGGTACTAAAAGTACTCACTTTTTAAAGGCAGCTTGAAGATTTCGGGGACCAGCACTGAAATTCTGAGGTAAATCCATCTTAGAATAAACATAACCCCATTTAAGTTGAGAAGTAACACGAAGAAATCCACCAAGTTTTTGAACCAACTAAACAAACGTATGCACAGGAAAAAGAGCGGTTCAAAAATTAATTAAAATAATTATGTAACCATAATATGAACTTTGTAAAGTTAAACAAAAAACAATAGACGTCGGGTGGTCCGAAAATATTCAAGACATGCTAATGTTTTTATAAGATCTGTGAGATAGATTTAAGTTGGTTACCTTAGTGAAAATTGATTGAAGAAATCGCCAAACCCTCCACAGCCCGCTTGACACTTCCTATTCATTTCTTAGTCTAATTCTCCCTTTTACAAACATGGATTTACAGCATGTCTATGCCTAATCATTGCATACAACTACTGATTGTATGCAAGTATACAGAAACATTGAATTTATTGACGGGTTGATGTACAAAACTGATAATAGCATCCTAGAATCTGTGGTCCCTTTCTATATTTATTCTCTTGTACACAGACAAGGTGGGAGACATTAAAAGGCTAATGTGTTTGATCATAAGTGTCTGCGCTCTACCTAGCGTGTCAGCTGGTATAACAAGGTGAGCAATATTGAGGTTAGGCTTCGGTCGAGTGTTAGCTAAGGAGGGGTAATCAATAGATGAGGTTGTCAAGTTACATCGACTGAGATGGTTAGGACATGTGTTACGTATGCCTGCCTAGCCATCAACTTCCTAGACTGAAGGGTAATCTTAGCGGACATAGGATGGATCAGGTTGGGAAAAAGCCAGTGGTGGTCAAACCAAAACATCGCTTCATCAGTCAATGAAATCCATAACAGTTAGCTTAAGCCAAGCACGTAGGGAGGTGTAGACTTCCTGACTGGGTGGGGTCCTCAAAATGGTAAAAGCCAATGGAAGCTGGACACAATTGGTTATATGGCTCAAAATCGTTCTCAATGGCTGGTACAGTGCAACCACTCCTTGTGACTTACAATATCTAATGAAACTATATTATTCTTCGATATTACTATTCTTTTTGCCTCATAACTCTGTTTACTGTCTCTGTTTTGCATTTCTTTTCACTTTCTTCTCTTGCTTTGTGTGCAATCCAGTACAAAAGTGGACCAATTCAAATTACCACACTTTATAACAGAACAAAAACAGAACTTGGACAATAATACAACAGGAAAAAAGTAAACAGATAAGGATATTGGCGTAGGAAGATGATTTACTGAAATTGACTGAGTATATGTGGAATTCTGATGACAGAGTGTGAGTGAATTTCCGCCATTTAGACCAATTTTTCCTAACATTCATTGAGATTCTGTAGTAACTGATTCTTAAAACTTCAAAGGATTTAGCCAGACAGTTTTCTCTTTCATACAAGTATCGGACCTACAGTAAAAAACATCATATCCTAGTCTGGACAGTAGTGGTTGAATTTCAATATGTCACCTGAGTGAACCATTTTCATCGAAAAAGACTGTATGGCTGGATGACACGGAAAGACAAGGTACCATCCCTAGTAGTGTGGTGCTGTGATACAGGTAGTGTGTGCCAATGTAACATCATGGTCACATATTCCCACAGTTCAATTCGGTATTAGCAACAGAATACGATATATCTATTTTAACGTTCTATTTGATGTTAGAGTCGGAATGTTAGTCCCACAGTTGATACTGCATACCATATATCCATTTGAACATTATATTTCATGTCGTTTGATGTAAACCGAAATCACAATCTCAGTGATTGGTTAAAGAATATAAACTGTACGTATATAAACAGCTGTTCGATCAATGAAGAATATACTTTGCCTTCCGTGTCTTACCTTCTGTTGTTCCGTTTGCTATGGGAAAGTATTCTGACTCTAACATCAAATAGAACGTTCAAATAGGTATATTGTATGCAGTATTGAACTGTGGGAGTAGCATTCCGACTCTAACATCAAATAGATATATTGTATTCTATTGCTAATGCCGAATTGAACTGTGGGAATATGTGACAATAATGTTTCATTGGCACACATTGTCTGTATCATACCACCACAGGAGGACTGGTTAAAGATAATTGAACCAGAAACTGACTACTTAGGGATATGCTAACAGCAGGTTTTAATAATACACGCTCATTTTCATTTGATTTAAAGAGATGATTAACAGAAAGCCCATGTTCATCTGCAAGGTATCAACTAACACTAATTTATTTAAGGAAATTATATTTAACACGTCAGAGACGTATCCAACTTCTTGTCAAAAATGTGTACTGTGCAGCAGTTTGCTCTGACCTACTCCAAGGTTGACGGACACGGCTACTGAAGTAGGCATAAATCTTGATAATACCAGTGATATATAGTGAAATAAAAAAGTTTGCAATGTTTTAGATAAGGGATACATTATTCTTTTTCAACTAGGTAACTCCGCTCGTGCGTCGGTGGCAAAGCGGTTAGGACGCTCGCCGACTATTCACATGGTCCGAGGTTCGATCCCCGGCCGACGCACTTCTTTACCTCGCTAAGCCAGTAATAAGACTGGTAAAGAGGGAAGGTTGGGCATGAGGCCAGCAACCCCACCCCGTAAAAATAAACTCTGCTACAGAAACTTCAAGCCTCTAGCTTGAAGCCCTATGTTCCACTGGGAACGTGATGGAATAAAAAAAACTGTGAATCAATATTATTTAAATTTGCCAGGACGATCAGAATATTTATTGGTGGTGTAAACATAATTATTATTGGCCATGAACAAATCAGCTGTGATAAGTAAAGATTTCTCAGATTATTGAGATTAATAAATTATAGTCTCAAAAAACCTTGCTTTGTCAGAGTAATAATAATAATAATAATGGCTTTATTCCAAACAGTATTTGTGGTACAGGTATGGAATTTTCAGCGTTCATTACAATATTGCATCTAATTTCCTCATAAATTTTATAAGGATTTAGAAATATAAAGCAACAACAACAAAAAGAAAAAGAGAAATAAAAGAAAAAAAGAACAGCATTGCATTCACATATTTAAACAATGCACCACAGGATATGATATATAAAATTAGTCTGTAATAGAATATATGAGCAACAATATAATAGTAACAAAGAAAGGAGAACAAAAGCTAATGGGAACTATTTGTTAGAGTGCCGCAGTAAATTGATCATGTCATGCCTAACAGTTTTCTCATCACATAACAGCTGTGCCGGATAAGGTATTGTGGAGTTTTTATACTTGGTAGTCCTGGCATATAGCTTCCTATAGTTGCTTCTAGTTCTACCAGATGAAATGCAAGGAGAGAGCTGCGTATGGAGAGGGTGTTCGGGGTCTGACAATATAGAATTTGCTAGTTTCTTACATGACATTATATGTCTATCCACAATTGTGTTAACCAGTTGGTTTAACGAAATCCCACTTGCCCTACTAACAGCTTCTAGTGCCCTATGCAGCGAAGCAAAGTCTTTCTTAAGTAGTCCAGGAAAGATTAATGGGGAGCAGTAAAGAGGGATGGGTAGAATACAGGAATTGACAAACTGAGAAAGAAAAGACTGCTTTATACCAGACTGCCTAAACTTCCTTAGGTAGAACGTTAAGCGAAACATCTTTCTAGTCACTAGCAAGATGTGAGAGGACCAGGAAAGATCGGAGGAAATACTCAGTCCAAGGTACTTGACATCTGATGTAGTTTCAACCTCTATGCCGTCAATGATAGTGGGACCATGTGAGCTAGCTAGTTGTTGAAGGTCACTTTTTCGTCTGAAAGTAAAATTTACTACCTGACATTTAGACGGATTCAGCTTAAGACCGTTTGAAGAGGACCACTGACTAATTTCCGAGAGAAAGTTATTTAATATGGAACAGTCTGACTGAGAGTTAACAGGCATGGAGACAGAGAGGTCATCAGCATACTTGACAAAAGTGGCTACATCAGAATGGGGCAAGTCATGTAAGAAAAAAGAAAACAGAAAAGGAGAAAGAACGGCACCTTGAGGAACACCAGCTAAAGTAAGTGAGGTAGTGGAGGACTTTCCATTGTAGACAGTGTACTGCTTCCTTTCAGAAAAGTAGGAATACAACCACTTATTTATCCAGCTCTCACTCTGTGTTGCAGCAAGCTTACTTAACAAGAGAGACCTAGGTACAGAGTCAAATGCAGATGTGTAATCAAGGAAGGCACACCGAACATATTTGGCTCCTCTATCTAAACTAGAGACTATATTATGATATAGAACTACAGCGGCATCTAGGGTACACCTACTATGTTTATAGGCAAACTGGTTGGGGTCGTTAAAAGGCTTTAAAGACGGTTCAAGATTAAGTAAAATAAGTCTTTCCATAACTTTTAAAAAAGGTGAGGTAATAGCAATGGGTCCAAACTTGACAGTAGGTCCACTTGTTGATTTGGGCACTGGAACAACCTTGATATTTTTCCATGAGTCAGGAATAAAACTTTTGGAAAAAGATTCATTGAAAATGTCAGTTAATGGGTAACATAAGATGTCAGCACACTTCTTAAGGATAACAGCAGGAACTCCATTAGGACCAAGGGACTGGGTAGGTTTGAGAGATTGAAGACACTTGAGGACATCATTCGTGTTAAAACATGAAAAGCAGTCATTATTTATACTATTAGATTTGGGAATCATAACATCTGCAGGGAAGTGACATTATGATAGAACATGACACACTGCATAAGTCGAAGTGTTGTGGTTTTATAACAGCGGTCTTCCCATTCCGTAACGAATCAGGTTGATCAGATTTAAAATCAAGTGTCTTCCAGTTACTAAAGGACGTAATTCAGACTTCTGTTGGCAACCATCGCTTGGTTACACTATTAACTGGTAAGATCGAGAGGTCAGCCGGTGTCCATTCTGTTCACTCATACCGACCAAATGATCAGTCATTGCACCGTGATGCAGCAACAACTTAAAAAGTCACAACGAAGTTTACCAAGACATCTGCCACATGTTTTAGCCAGTTACCTTCAACAACAAAGAGTGGGACGACAGCATAAAGAAAGCTAAAGATGATCGAAGTAGTTCACGATAATGAAATATCATCAATACACTAGTTACTGGTTTCAGCCATACAGAAAAAAGGTAAGTTTCCGAAGTATGACATTAAAGGCGTTTAAAAAAACGGTTCGGAACTCTTCATGGTATAGCCAAAAATCGACTATCCTCCTAATAATGATAACTTGATTCAACGAAATGCATGTCTTGTTGGTATTAGATGATTGGAGGCAATAGGCAGGAGGCCTTGGACCTAGCTTTCGTGCTAGTTGGCACCCATCAGCAAGACGTATCTGCAACCTTGAAGGAACTCATATCCCTTCTGAGATTCGAACCCGCGTCACCCAGTGCTGCAGTCAGAGACGTTACCACTGAGCTATTAAGACTTGCGACTGACCTACTGTAGGACTGTATTGGATATTTTTGATTGCACACTAGTGTAATGTGTCTAGTCCTATCTTCGCTACAAACTGAATTCTATCAGTCAAGCTTGCAATGTGGCTCGCCATTACGGTGCACTGTGAATTGTTGGTGTTAGACACACTACACTAGTTACTGGTTAGTGTCTAATCACATGTTGATGTTAGATAGTTGGAGGCAATCGGCAGGAAGCCTCGAAGTATCCAATACAGTCCTACAGGAGGTCAATGGCGACCTGAATAGCTCAGTGGTAACGTCTCTGACTGCTTCACTGGGTGACGCGGGTTCGAATCTCAGAAGGGACATCAGTTCCTTCAAGGTTGCAGATACGCCTTGCTGACGAGTGCCAACTAGCACGAAAGCTAGGTCCAAGGCTTCCTGCCGATTGCCTCCAACCATATAATACCAACAATTCACAGTGCACCGTAATGGCGAGCCACATTGCAAGCTTGACTGATAGAATTCAGTCTGCAGCGAAGAAAGGACTAGACACATTACACTAGTTACTGACTAGTGTGCAATCAGAAATGCATGTCTGTCATAATAGTGAATGATACGGTGTTATCAAAATGAAATACTTATTAAGTGGGTAAATAGTATGCATATCACTCTTAGAACAAATAGCAATACATTTTTTTAAACTGCCTCAGATTTAACTAGACAGACAAGCAAAGATGAACAAAGATCTAACTATTGGAACATTGTCAAGCCGTAGATATGAAAGAATGAGAGAAAATGGCTTTGTTTTCTAGTGCAACTAATGAAAATAAATAACAGAACATAACAACATTATTATTACTATGAACTTACTTGGTACAGTCTATATAAATCTAGATCTTTGTTGGCTAAACTAGGCGCTTTGTTGATTGGAGTACCACGTTCATCCATAAATCGATATAACTGAGCAATCCACCTATCACGTGCTTCAAATCCAGCTACTGATGAAGTTGATGAACTATCTGGAGATGCACATGACGCAGTTGTACTACTAATACTACAACTACTACTACTGCTACTACTGTTAACACTGCTACTAGTACTATTATTAGTACTACTACTACTACTGCTACTACTACTGCCAGTGCTACAACTAGTAGTACTACTAATGCTACTGCTGCTACTTGAACTACTAATAGTGCTACTTACAGAGGATGATGACTTATTAGTGCTAGAGCTAGCCAGTGAACTTAATGATCTGGCATCAGAGTCTGATTCGACAGAATTCGAAGAGGCTTCATCAGAACTAGCTGAATCAGAAGAATCACCATCATAGGCGGTTACAGTTTTTGTATCTGATTTTTGAGAAGTCATGTTTTCCTTTACGCTTTCATGTTTCGCAGTTGACAATTTAGAAAGTTCATTAGAAGATGCATCACTCTGATTGTCACCAGTGGTATCTGAACGTAAAATTTGAGTTTTCAATCGTTTCACTTTCAATCGACAGCTTGATCGAGAACTTTGAGTTTTGTCTGATAGTCTGGGTCGTTTACGAGCTGCTTTTTCAGATTTATTGACTGACAGTGTTCCACTGGACTTCTGAAAATTTTCGCGGCAGTTGTTCGCAGTGGGTGAAGCTTCAGAGGACGAAGGCGATGATACACGTGAATGCTTTAAGTTTGGAGGACTAAGAATTGTCGAGTCTGAAATCTCTGAACCTGCTGCTAGTTTACAACGGCGTTTTAAAGATCGCCAGTCCTTTGTGCCTAGCATTAATTCTATAGCATCCTCACCCCAAGAAGTCGGTAATTCAAATCGGTCTAACCATAGAAGTGCACGTTCGAAAGCTGAACGAAGAGATGGGTGACTGTGAGCGATTTCAACTGCTTCAGATCTTTTAAGGCGCCTTACAAATGCAACCGACACCGCGAAAAATTTATTGTCCTTAAATGAACGAACCAGGAGTTTGTAAGATGGGGTTTTAACATCATCCTCACCAACGCCATCACTTCCGATGCTGGTCGAAATATTTCCTAGATCAATACTAGGCATAGCAGAAGGTAAAACGACAATAGCTGGGGTGAATCGGCGTCTAGATGATAGGCTGGGACTTTTGACAACTGGAGTAGACGATCCATGTGTCGGAGAGCCAATACAATCTACAACAGGATGAAAAGTACATAAATGACAAGATCGACAAAAGAAGTTACATAACATAAACTTCTGAAGATGAACTTACCTTTAGCAGTTAGTGGCATATCTACGATAACTAAACGTCCAAGTAAACGACAATAACCAGTAGGTAACTGCTTTATATCCGTTGCCACTACATCTGATGTACTTTCAGCTTTAGGTTGGCATAATTCAGCTTTCTCTTCACCAACACTAATTTCTGTTATGGCTGAACAATTTACATCTTCCTTTTTAACGTTCAATGAAATATTCTTATCATTATCTTCCGTCGGTTTCTCCGGTTTTATATTATGATCGGATACATTCTGATTAGACACCTTGGTATCATTTTTCACAGTGACATTTTCTTTTTTAGTTTCAGCAACATTAGCATCCACTGTATTACTTTCTTCACTGTATTAATTTTTAAAAAAATGAAATAATAAAATTATAAGAGGTGAATTCTTACAAACACGTGTTACACATGCAAAAACGACAAGTGTGGTTGAAAGTTCTATAATTACAGTGATGAATTGTTAGTTACTGAAGTGGCATCTAATAGGTCATGTTTTCTGGCCTTTCCAAGTCCACTAGTTCGCTAGTTTTCCTGCCGGTCCCAAGATCGGGAAAAGACGGAAAGTTGGGGATGGGGCTAGCAACCTCACCCTGGAAAGTCACCTCAGTAGTTACAGAAACTTCAAAACATTACCAAAATATGTAAAATAAACTTATCGTTCGCTGGAAACGGGTAGACGAAGTGATGTAACCTGATCAAAGCCTGTGAGGCCAGTCAGCCGATGTGTCTTCTCTCGATGGAAGCAAGAGTAAGAATGGGAACGTCGAATGTCTGTACAATGTACGAGACGGGCTGGGAAGGCTGCTCAGGTAGCCAAGGGAATGGATATGGAATAGGAGTGTTAGGAATCTGTAGGAGCAGGTAGAATGGATGTGGATTATCGAAGCTGTCAGCTGGTGAGTCAGTAATCTATTCCAGTCTGGTCACACAGACGACAACCACGAACACACTGAGGGAGTGAGTGGCTATCATGATGCACCAGTGGCAGCCAAAGCCCTAATGCAGTGGGATCAAATATCACCCTACAGGATCATGACAATAAGATTCAACTCAAAAGGAAAGAAGGTCACAAATATCATGCAATGCTACGCACAGTGCTACAGACAACGTCGATAATGACAAGAAGGAAGACTTTTACAGACAACTACAAACAGTAATGGACAACATCCCAAATGGTGACATCAAAATCCTCATGGCCGGTATGAATGCCAGACGAACTGAAACCTGATGATACAGAAAGAGAACTCGTCATGGGTCGAGAAGTAATTCGGAAACTACTTCAAAACGACAGCGTGCAGTGCTCAAATCTTTATCAACTTCATTCAACAGCTACATGATAATGCCACGTGTAAAGTGGTCCACAACGGAAAACTCAGCGAAGCCTTTGAAGTCAATACAGCAATAGAACAGGGCTGCCTACTATCACTAATGATATTCCTAACTGTGATGGGCTAGTTCATCTGGGAGACTGTGGGAAGCGAGAAGACAGAAATACGTTGCGTCGTTAAGAAATCTCCAAAAAAGATTATTTATATCTACTACCATATCAACGTGAAGATCCATAGGCGAAAACCAACAGCCGAGACAGAACTTCAAGTGAACACACACACGTGAAGATTCCTTAACAATAACAACAACAGCACGAATCACAATAAACGGGAGAAATTTGAAACAAGGTTACTTCATTCATTTATTTAGGAAGCATTGTTTCAACTACAAATGGAACGGATGAGGACGTCAAAACTAGAATCGGAAAGGCAAGGTAAACCTTACTGATAGGACCCGGCATAAAATAGTATGTAGTACAATACAATATCTTACAGTCACAGACCAGCCTTTGTCTTTTGATATTTGCATGGCTCAGTGAATCGGAAGGTACAACGGACAAAATAGACGTATTAACGCACCAGTCGAGTTCATCACCGTTGCAGTAGTTAGCAGGCGCAGACATAACAAAGTAGCAACAGGTCTATGCAGTTCAGTCCAGTTCAGTTATAACAAATTGGCAACGGAGTTAAAACACCCACTTTGAAATCTGAGGCACGCAGCCTGAAGAACAAAATTCGAATTTTCAACACCAATATTAAGTCATCTTGTCTATATGGGTCAGAAACTTGGCGAGCGCGTTATCAAAACAGACTGCAGTTTATCAACAGCTGCCCTCGTTCAATACTGAAGATCGGATAGCCAGGAAGAATTAGCAACAAGAAACTCTGGGAACGAACAAATCAAGAACCTATTGCCCAACAAATAAATAGAAGAAGAAGAGATGGGTCGGACACGTGCTGAGGAGACTGTCGAGTGATATCGCGGCGTCAAGTCCTAGCTCGAGCATCATTCAAGTGGAAAACGTTGGGTTAGGTGTTCGAGGGTGACATGGAGGAGGTCGCGTTAAGAGGAGATGAAGGCTTATGGGTTGTCGTGGAGCTAAAGAGGACTACAAACAACAGAACAAAATGAAGATGTATTGTTGAAGCCCTATGTTTTACTCGCAACCCAGGAGAATAATATTAGTGAACTAAATTTCCAAATTGGAACCTTGCACAAAAGTGCAACAGCTTAAGTTGAGGTATCATTTCATTGTAGCCCGATGCTGTTCAATTTAACTTACCAACGGGTCACAGGTTTTATTGGAATTTCGGAAAAACCATCTCGATGTTAGTCAATAAGGAGTGGGTAGCAGCTGAACTTTGAAGTTTGTGAGAAAGAATTCATCGACAACGTAAACAAAGCTAATAATGAGGACAGTCACTCAGTGATTCGTTATGTGATGGCAACGTTATTTCTAGAGTCCGTTGAAAGTGGAAAAGATGGGCCGTCGTTGACAGAAAAGTGACAGCATTTGGTGTTTTCGGACTTAACAGTTTTATAAGATTCAGGCTGAATAGTGTTTAAGGCCCTAAATAGGGATAAACAATCGTCCAGGGCCCATTAGTGAATTAATCCAACATGAAATCATTCAACTTTCGAAACACTTATTCACTTGATTAATTGTCAATAAGACAAATAAAAAACGAAAACCAACATACATGTCTACAGCGGTAGAACATTTTGATCTAATATTATAATTCAACGGGAAATACAAAACTGAATTGAATAAATAACTTCAATTTGCTCCATATCTAGAGCACTCAGTAACCCTATTTGAATGTGACAATTTTAAGCGTGATGCATTAAGTCTATATACAATTAAAATAGCTTTCATAACGTTTAGACATTTAAATAAAGCAAGAACAACAGTGGTTTGTGCAGAATAATATGGTACCATCATTTATTTCGTCGGCTTCTCATCAGCTGCTTACGAAGTCGCATACTGAATCAACAGAATCTTGTAAGCAGCTGATGAGAAGCCGACGAAATAAATGATGGTACCATATTATTCTGCACAAACCACTGTTGTTCTTGCTTTATTTAAATTCATCAAGGGGAATAAATGCATGAAGTTTAGACATTTGTATTTTTCTACAATAATAATAATATTGAAAAAAAGACTCAAGATTTCACAAAACAAAGGAAAGAACTCTTAGTAGACCGTGTAGAATTTACGAAATATACTGATATTATGTTAGCATTAACTACTTACCCTGAACGATGTTTCCTTCGTTGATCTATAACCGGTTGTCTAAACTGTTCTGGATTTGTTAAAGGTAAAGAATCCAAGCTCTTAAACATAAAGAAAACAACAGAATTATAAACAAAATACACTCAATAATAAAATGAAGCAAAACGGATAAAACAACAAACTCTCAATGCTTAAAATATTAATGCCCAAGTCTTTATTAAACTCATTCAACGGCTGCCTATATGGCAATGCCACGAATCAAGTGATCCACAACGGAAACCTCAGCCACCCATGTTAAGTGAATAAAGGAGTAAGACGAGACTACCAATATCACCGATGATATTCTTGACTGTGGTGGACTGGATTATGCATCAGACTGTGGGGAGTGAGAATACAGGGATATGCTGGACCACCGAAAAGAAGACTCTAGACTATCTGAATTTCCCAGATGATTTATATTTAATGTGACACAAACTCGAAGACTTCAAGGCAGGCGAAAACTAACAAACGACTTTGAATAGCTAGGTCGCACGTTCGAATCCCACTACACCTGCTGAGTTTTAGGAAGTCAAGATAGAATCATCAACCACCTCACAATAGATGCCGTTCACTTCCAAACGTATTTAAATGCAAATACTTGTTGTCTAATGTAACGTAATGTGAAACAATTAAACAAAGCACCATCGATATTAGATTAGCTGCTGACATATAGAAAAATCCCATTTGGAAAAAAATACTTTATATGCTGTTGCTTTTATGAAGATTCATTCCAGCACACTAAAACACAGTTTTACTACACTACCTATTGGTAACACTAATGAAAATTGCACAAAATTGACTTCAGTTGCTAGAACAATTCATCAAGTAATAGTAATAACATTGTTTTGACAATAACTAAATAAAATATACAAAACAATTATTTATTCTACTCACTTCACTCTCTTTGAAATGACGTTCACCTTTGAGAACAAGTTGTGTACGTCGTAAAGTTCGCCTATCACCATCATCGAATACTAGAGTTACAAGTTGTAGAAGAAAAATGGGTTATAGGGACCAAAAAGGTTACACAATTTACGCACACAAAAGCCACCATACTTCATATGTGCCTGTATACACGTATAAATTAATCGGAGAGCATGGGAAGTATTATCAGAAGTCATAAGAAGCCTTCAATAATTTCTATGGATTCATGATACGTTCGTCCTGATTCCTCCTTACAGTTTAGTTCTTACTCAGTCATCATGAATTATCAGCATTGACACATATGACATACCTCCCTACCGATGCAATTGATGGAACCTTAAGACTACATTGATTTGATTGCCTCACTTATCTAGAGCTCTCTACGTTTCAATAAACTGGAAGGATGACGGGGTAATAATGATTACATACCTGAAACCTGAGGCTTACTACATTCGGCGATCATGCTCCAAATAGTATGTAAAAAAATATGACTATTTGCGTCACGATGTGCACGTAGGTAAATAGAAATCAGTGCTATTTCCTTGTTACTGATGTCACATTAAAAGTGAGCGAGATTTAGAGTTTCTGGGCTAATCATCCTTAGGCTGAGTATCACTTTATGGTTTAATGTTAATCGCGTTGCTTCTATATAGTCAAAATGAAAATAGTATTAGGCAATTATGAACACAGATATTACCATTATGAAGCGATGCCTATACAACACAGTGATTACAACAGGCCAACCTTCATAGGATTACGAGCAATAAATTCTGCTTGGAACAAACCATCAAATTATTAATACTGAATTATTCTGTTACATAAAATAAACTAGTATGATATTATATTCTACTGCAGTGCTCAACTCCCGGTCTTACACAAGATAATTAGCACTTAAAAATGTGTTTACAACATTAAAGGAAAAAGGGGAATCAGTAGAAACCAGAATCCAGAATGATAGTGATAAGCCTATAACTTCTGAACAATAGGTAAACAACACTCGTAAGTTTTTTGATTTTGTTTTATAGCGTTCTCAGTTAGTATTATTTATTTATGGTGTTTTTTTCTTAATTTCACAAATGAAAACCGAAAAATTGTAAATTTTATTCCTAGTGATATAATTGAAATAATGAGATTTCATGTTTATACAATTTATCCTAACTTTACTAATTTTCTTTCTAACCGGAAATAGCACTTGATTTGATGATGGTAGAGAACACTTCATACTAAACATTTGTGATGGAGGTGCTCACTTCACTGTGATAAAACTGTTGATTTGTACTTTATACAAAATCAATCCGCTTCCTGCAGTAATGCAAATTACAGTCAGGCACATCAATTGAGCATATTGAAGGAAAAGTATGGAAAATTTCATGTAAAGAGAAAATAAGATACTCATTTTCAAATATTTAGACAAAAAGAAATACATACCAACGGAATAACTGCTGGTATCTGTAACACGCATCACTACGCCTACTTCATTCTGTATAGGCGAACTGTTAGGAATTTGAACGACCACTTCACTACCAGCAACAGGAGAACCGGATACCAAGGAGGTTTCATCAGCAAATACGATGGACTAGTTAATCACAGGAAAATGAAGGATAAGATAAGTTCAGCACCTTTACTTTAAACTAATCCACTGTAAGAATAATAAATCAAATGGCAATGAGATACAAGTTTATGAAAAGGAATGCATTATTCTTTTAAAAATAAGTCACTTGTAGTAACACGGCTGCATCAAATAATTTTGCACTGGTTTCCCGAAGATTTTTCATGTGTCGATATATCAGCCACGCCTATTGTATGACGACTGATAATGCTACTCACTTGTCTAGGCTAGACTAGAAGGAGTAAGACTCGAACCAGAAACTTAGTGCTGAAACTTGAGTGCTCACGTCAGTAAGCCAATCAATGTGTAACAGCAGTGCTCATCTTCCTAATATTCTATCATATTTAACGCCATTCGAAGACACTACATAGCAAATGTTTTTTTCAGTCTGTTGTTTGTTAATTATACAGTTGACTTAAAATCCACACGTTGTACATAAAGCTTCTCCACTTACTTTCATATAAAATTTATTCATTTATTTATTTGCGTTAATGCTAGTCTATAGAAGCTGTGGCTCACTACTTTACGCATTTGACTTCCCACAACCACATCGAGTCCGAATCCCGCCTCACCTACCGAGATTTGGGCAGCCAAGTAGCTATAACACATTAGGTGTGTGTGGACCAGATTTCCTTCAAATTTCCCTCACCAACTCCATTCAACGACGAACTAGTCAGTTTCAAACTACCCACAAGCAGTAATGGTTTTAACCTCATTCTTATTACGAGTATAATGACGGATGGTGTCAATACTTACACCAATAGACAACTTAAATTAATGTGATCTTTATCGTCTGATAAACACCAAAAATATCATTCTATGCTTGGATAACCCACGGTTATTGAAGTCTTGTTACGTCATATTTCACCACTTTTTTTCTTTTGAATTATATTTCCTCAAAATGTGAATAAGTAGAGCGCCAATTCTAGTCAGTGTTTCCAGCCCGGAATTACTTCGTCTAATTGTATCAGAAATTAACGACACCTAGAAAGTGTCATTTGGCAAGTGTCGACTAGGAGTGAATTCATGGACTTCAGTTTCATCCTCTTGAGAGCGCGTTCGATGAATGTACCAGCACCCCAGAGAATGATAATATTTATATTGAGTTTCATATGACAAGCCATTATCCACTACACTACCAAGTCGCCACACCCACTTTTTGTGAGATAAGCTCCATCTGTTACCTACTGAGACTTTGGAGGTTTTGTTTGAAATAAACTGAAATGAAATTCAATGTGTGAATAAATAACTTGGAAAATGACTGACTTATAAAGGACACTAATATTATAAACAGATGGCTCTATACTGCTTATAACAGTAGGCACAAACTTCCTGATACCATGAAAAAGGATTGGGAGGACGATTAATATGATTTAAAAGTTCAGGAGTGATTTGTTTTAATATGTAATCTGAACATGCAGTGGATATTGGTTAAGGACATCTATCTCGAGCTGTTCTAAATAATACAGTATTATTAACATGCAAATAATAAATGTTAGTGACTAAATACAAAGCAGTGAGTTACAGTTAAAACACGAAGGTAGTGAGCAGTATTTCTGATCAGATGTTTACTATCCAATGACTCTACAAGGTAACCAATGATTACAAGTTATTTTTGATTAACCACTCTGTATGATTTATTTGTATCTCACAATAAAACAGCATCAATTTCTATAAAATTACAGTTTCAGCTCTAATTAGATTTACCTAAGCTTTGCAGACAGAACAGCAACAATAAATATTCGAAAAGAAAGGATAATAAATAATTTAGCAATATATATACATATATATAGGAAAAAATATTGCGTCACGTCACCTTATTAGATTTTAGTTGTACACGGAGACGAAATCTTAGTTCCACATGATCCACCAATGCTTCGCAAAAGGCACCTCGATACTTTGCACTAACTGCTGTGCCTACAACCAAAAACGTGGGAGGGAGGGATTGTCGAGATCCATTTGAGCCTGCACCTCCAGGAATAGTTGATCTGTTGTTATTGTTTGATGACTAGTAAAACGGGAAAGAAATCAAATGGTAGCGATACTATCTGAAATAGTCGGGTTAGGAGACCATTAAAGTAGTGGATGTTCATTGACAGTAAAATAAAAATCTGGGTTGCAGCAGCATCTGAACCAGTCTCCTAATTACTAGCCTTGTAGGGTAAGAGTTTGAATTCTGCTATGACCCAGACTTTTATTTCACATTCTATCTCCTACTACACAAATAAATAATAAGCAAAGACGAAAAAACAGAAAACTACATTTCTAAAACGTTCAAATTATTCCGAAACAAGCAATTCCAACAAAATTAGTTTCTGTGCAACAAAATGTATGTAACACTTCTAATTGCTTCATTATTTCTAAGGGATGGAAACATCTGTTCGTAGTGTTGGTAACTACTCGTCAAAATTATGACCCAGCTAAGACACATAGACAGAAATAATTAACGATTTAATTGAACTAAACTGATTGAACTGAATTACTAGTGTGACCGACTGACTAGATCCAATACTGAACTTTGAACAGAATTATAGCAGTTCGAGTTACCACACTCCATGTACCACACAACAGAACATATATACATGTTAATTATCATAATATAAAGGCACTAATCTCAACTTTTTAATCAGTAAAAGACCGAAAAATTAACCGTTAGGATAGTGATAAATTAGATTAAACCTCCTAAAGAGCGAGGGAAGTTCTAAAAGCAAGAAACTCGTGGTGTTATAGACAGATAAAAAATCTTTGACGCTGACCAGGAAATACTTAACAAACCACTGCTGTAAAAAGACGCATACTCCACAGCTCCATAGATTTCGAAGACTTAAGACATTTTTGAGCGACTGGAGTACTAAGCATAGTCATGTAGGAAATTTCAGTCAAAACACAAGAAGAAAGATTGTCACCAACACCTCTACGTCGGGAGAAATAGCTGTAAAACTACTAGGAAACTGGGCTCCTTACCTATGAATCCTACGGACAAGGCTACCAAAGACCTATTGTCTGTTAATAGTATTTTCATGGGACTCTACACTAACAATGTCTCCTGTAGGGTTTCTTATTTCATAGTTTATATTCCTAAGTCACCACTATACTGGGCAAATGTATTAATTAAGTTAACCGTTTAGACAGGAACGAAATTTCAAAAATACAATTACCATATTGCTTGTAGGACTTCATTTAAAAGCCCGTAGTGTAATAGTTCGAAGTAACCCGCCAAATATTGTATGCTCAATCCAATGTCCAAAATTACTTGTACGCCGGTATAATCCAAAGTAATAATATAAGGATGAATATGTATGAAATGGAAAAATAAAATAAGAAGTATACACACATAGAGAAGTGGATGGGACAATTAAATCATCCAGTTAAACTGTTGGTGGCGAAACTTAGGAGCGTAGCGGTAACATATTCCACAGAATTATTAGCCACAGCATTCATCAATGAACGCTGGATGCTGACCCCCACCGTTTTAGTCGATTTGTTTAGTTGAAGGCTTACGGTCAAGCATCCACGCTATTTGGCACGCTGTCGTGTTGCGTTCGCTCGATCGAGCACGATCCGTAGCCAGTTATTTATTTATTTTTGATTACAGCTTGATGCCACACCGTATTTTCAGTACAAGTATGGAATTTTCAGCGTGGATATCTGTAGCCCAAATTTTGCAGGCCGACCATAGATATCGGGTGTGCGTCGGCAGGGGATCGAACCCCGTACCATGTGCATGGTTGGCGAGAGTCCTAACCACTGTGCCACCGACACACATCATCTAGCAATCCTATTTGGTCCTGAAATATTCTCCGTAATTTGGACGGTCAATTCTGATGTTTTGCTTTGCGTTTGGTCTATGAGGATCGAATAAAATAGATGATGTGGCTGTTGGATCTAGTGTTAGTATACTTCAAACTATACTTCAACTTCAACACCTCCTGTCTCTGTCGGTACCACGGGATGACGGAAATTAGTATTTCTCTTGGAGTTATTCCATGCCAGGTTTGCAGAGTGAGGCAAAAATCTGTTGACCGCATTAAGGATTCCTGCTTTCGTTGGAGAATTGATGTCCACTGGCAGTTCTGTGTGTGCTGTTGGCGGTACTTCTGGACTAGTTGCAGGTGTTGGTCCATCCAAGAGCCCTCTGAAGTAATCAGTCTATTATTTTATATGTCCCTCCTCCTCTGTAATCAGGTTCCCTTGAGCGCCTTTTATTGGTTTCATCATCTGGCTCGACCTATCCCCACATAGAGACCTGGTTATCTGTTATGATGTTCTGAGGTCTGTTTTACTTGCAGTCTGCTTGTTCTGCATCAGCTGTCAGCCAGTGTGTCATAGAATTGTCTGTTGTCTCTTCTGGCACTCTTCTTCACTTCCTTTTCTCAGAGCGATGTACCTTGAACTAGGCTTCTCCCTCTGTTGCTCATCTTTGCAATGGTTTATCTTCTGTTTCACTATCCCCCTCTCTTCCATTGGATCCAAAGTGTGAGTTGAGAGCCATTCCTTGTAGTATCTCTTCTTCCTTCCCAAAACAGTTATACATGGTTCCCTGAACGTCAACTTCAGAGAGTTATTTCCAATGTTCTTCCACACAGGTTTCCTCAGTGGTATCACGTCGTAGTGTATCCGACTTTGCTCTTATCTAATCTGTAGTGAAGATAGTCCTTGTAGGTTTCATCCTTCAGTTTCTGAATGTCGAATTTGAATTACAGTCTGTCTCCATTTGTTTTCAGAGATTTCATCTTCACCTTGAAGGTTCCTTGAACTAGTCTGAGCCTATATCTGCTCCCCTTCTCAGCTTTGTGTCCAGCAGACTGGCTGCGTCTCCACTTTCTTGAGCGAAAACAGTGAGATGAAATCTGTCTGGTTCGTGGTGTGTCCTTCAGACGAGATCCATGTCGCTGGCCTTGTGTATATCCTTGTGTTGTATATGCTGGCTTCGATCATCAAATCACTGAAAGTGCAGAAGTCTGAGAGTAGTTCTCCGTCCTCATTGATTTCTTGGAGAGCCTCTCGACCCAAGACGAGTTCTGCTTCTGTATTATCAGGTCCCAGCTCGTCTGACATTCATATCGGCCATGGGGATTTTGATGTCACGATTTGGGATGTTGTCCATTACTGTTTGTAGTTTTAGTTTTTCCCTTTACCCGAGCTTGGGACCAGCTTGAAAACTGACGAACTAGTAAACTAGGTGACGTTGAAATAATAATAAGAAAAGGTAATGATATTTATGGCTGGTGCATATTACATGGACTTAAACATGATATGTGTGCGTCGGTGGCACAGCGATTAGGACGCTTGCCGACCGTGCATATGGCCCGGTGTTCGATCCCCGGCCGACGCACTTCTTTACCTACTTTATTCAGCCTTTTATCATATTATAGCTTTTGCTACTAACAAGATTCATCAGTAGTGAATACAGAAACGTCTGTCAGCATGAAAATATCAAATAGCAGGCAGATTTTGAGTCAAATACAGCGAATGATTCAGCATTGCGACCGAATATGGAGGACGTGAAAGAAGTGCAAAAACACGTAATATGAAGGATAGAATTAGCTCAAGACAGAATTACTGTGCAAATGGTTATTTGAATTGGAGTACATATAATTTCGCTATATAGCGACACCAAATTTCTAATAGACATTCCTTTACCAAGCCTCTCGACTTCTACCGTTACGATATGTTCTATCGTGGATACCCATCACTCCTTTTGTCGCCTGTCTCCTTAGACTTTCCAAAAGATTCGCCCGTCTTCTGAGTAACTGATTTTTCCACTTCAGTGTATAGTATTAGGTGTGCTTCGTACAAATTTCGAAGAATATCGGGCGCTAATTTTCGTAACTGTCTATGCGTTAATGTATGACTGAACATTATCACGCTACATCGCCCGTGTAATTCGCGCTAGTGCCCATTTTTCGGTTAGAACTAGACCTTGTTCTCACTCTGACGTTCTACAGGGGATAATTTTCACTCAGTAAGCAGGGCTAAACAGTCAGGAGGTTGTGTGGCAGAAGTTCAGGCATAGAAAGACAGATAGCCATATAACAATTATGAGTGTTATTTCCAGTTGAAGCCGATTGGGAATGGGCTCAGATTCGTTCAATTAGCCTAACAAACTGGTTTCCTTGAAAATAATTGCAATGGGTAGCACTAGAAGCTTTATTATGCCTAAGTGATTGTGAAGTGTGTCGTAGTAGAATGAAGAAAGAAGAGAGATCTCGATTTTATTACGGAATTTTTTCGAATGTTTTTACTCAGTCATGCCGAAACAGTAAGACGTTGTGAAAACAATGATTTTGTTGTACAGGCGCATCTTATATTCTGAAATGAACGGTGTTAATATTCATCGACTTCTGAATAAAACGTTACGCGGCCTGCATCTATAATTGTTGTGAGCTGGTAATTAGCTGTATATACCTTCTCGATCGAATAAACGTCATCTCTATGAATTCAAAATGGAAATGGCAGGAATTAAAACCTGCAGTTCTTTATTCAAGATTACTAACTATTATACTCTTTTGCTGAACTGCTTATGATACCAGACGGAGTAAAAATGCACAACAATAGGTATTGGGGGGTTCAATAGTGCAAGAAGTATGTGGTTTGTGAATTTATTCCATATGCATCACCCAGTCTTATGCCCCGTGGACTGTCTCGAAAAAATAGAATCATTGTTCTTCAAGGGTAAACATCAGTGGAATCATAGGTAGAGGAACAAAAATTTTTCCTCGAGCATTTAAGAGGATTGTAAGCTGTACAGTACGGTCCTGCATGATTGGTTCACTGGCAGAATGCTCGGCAGCCACGCGGGTTTCGAGATCAGATTCCCTCATAACGTACTCCTAAACCTTGCCTAAGTCTGGAAAAGAGGTGACGTCAGGCATGAGACTAGCAAGTTACCTCATGAAAGCAACGTCAGCATTACTGAAAAAGGAAGGTCTGGAGTCCTATATCCCAGTCAGAAGGCAAAGAAAAACATACTCTACATTCCTGAGTAAACTTACCAGTGTGAGACGCAACTAGAACAAAACGCAATTGAACATCATTTAGGAGGGACTAACAATCATTATTAACTGTGAAGTTATGACTGATGCATGCGCTAGCATCATTGCCTGGTTAGACAATTTTCGGTTGATTTATTTTGGGGGATCTTCAAGATCGTGCAGTCAGTCGGATATTGACTACCTATTTATATTATGATATTTAAAAGGTCGTAGTTGACACGTTGTAGCAGTTGAATATGATTTTTGGGTCCACCTCAATGTGAAGAAAATATTCAAGTGATCAGCTGGCTATAGTGTCGTGTCTGTGGTCTTATTATCGCCATTTTAGATAACAAGTAACAAAAACTGTAACACTCCATTACAACAGCATCCAATTAAACTGTTCACGCACATTACTTCTAGCAATACAAGTTATAATGAACTGCAAGATCTAGTTAGTTACACTTGCACATTTAAGGGAATAAACGAGAAATAAGATGGATTGAAAGAAAGATGGATTACTTTGCTGAGGTCTACTTCATAATCATAGCATTTTAAGGTGACCTTCCTGGGACATCAGAAAACTTTCTGCAGACGTGCATGAAAACCTTTTATTTATATCGTCAGCTTTACCAGACATTAGTATATCAGTTCATTCGATCTATTGACTAATGTCGGAGGAGGCCGGAGACTTATATTGCTTGAGAGACCTTCAGCTGTTTCACGTGATGAAATCAACTGGAAATAACGCCCACTGTTCGTGTGTGGTCGCAGGTCCTATTAAACAGGATAATAACTTTCTTTCACGTATGAGTCTGAGATATGTCTATGAAATCACAATATTATATCAGTTAAATCTCGCCCCGAAACCAAGGCCATTTGAAACCAATAGCAACTTAGAGAAAACGTCATTGGGGGGATATGCAATAAAGTCGCTCGCCTATGCTCTTCCTCCACCAGCAACACATGTTTCTCCATGTGGACTGACAGCTGATCTCTACGGATTTTTCTGAAATCTTCGCTTCATTATGTGTCAAACATACAGACAGGTAGTTAGTTACCAGTTACCTATTCCCCTCTCTAAAGATGAGGCTTATAATTGCATCCTTTCAGCTCCTAGATAACCTAGCCTTAGTTGGAGGCATTTCTTGAAACTCCCTAACTGGCATATTGTATTATATCCTCCAAAGAGACTAACAGTTGAAAGTCCGCCAGGCTGTGGTGATTTACTTGGCTTAAGTTTGGGCAGTGGTTCAAGAACCAGTGCAACATCAACAACAATCGGGGGTTTTAAGTGGCTGACTTCACTAAAACCCTGGATGGTACAATCAGCCCAGAAGACACCACAGAAGTATTCAGAAAGGTTTTCGGCTGTAATTCATGTGATTCGGTCATCTCCACAGTATTGCTTATCTGTGACGGCGTTCCCTTGCTTATTTCAGTTCGACTGTTAATATACGAGCTGTCCTTTTGCATAATGTACACAGTCCAAGACTAGCTGCCTCCCATACTCTTTACGACTTTCACCCACCATATACATGCAAAGGATCCGAATTTTGTGGTAGCCTATCTGAAACTCTTCTCTCCCTGTCAAAGTGAACTTGTCCCATAGGCTTTTTCACTTTCTTAATATACTGATTTCACTGCTAAACCATGGCGGTTTATGTAATAGGTAGGTAGGTCAAAGTACAAAAGGTGAGGTGGCGCACTCTAATGTGTAACTACATGTCACCCGTGCCTCCTCAATAGTTACATCTTTATTAACTTCCCAGACAGCTAGGGTCTCTGCATCCCGGATTGCCGATATATTCGCCTTCCAAATGTTTGGATGAGCAGATATCAACCTTCGTATAAAATCATGAATCTTAAGCCTACAGGTAGTGGCTGCATGGTCATTACTTCCTAACAGTGAGAGGCACTTAATATGGCTTACATCCTCCCGTGTCTTTTGCAATTAGTACAGAATCCAGAGATCATGTGCGGGGCCCTATAGTGTTGCAGACGCACATGGACATTCACGGACATTCAGTGTGAGCTCTTTTTCGAATCAGGTATGCAGGCTAGTTGATGTTACTTTTTCCTATCCATCATGCAGGCATTAAAGTTGCCCACTAGTGGATAACTATTTCCTCAAATCCACAATCTCAAGTGATTTAGTATAAGGACGTCAGCCTTGATAGCAGGACTTCTATAAAACACCACAAACGTTATGATACCCTTATTCAAGTTAACAACAAACTGCAGCTTGACAGGTGCCTCACTTGTCCGCTTCTAAAACCGTTGACATAACTCCTAGGTCATCCCGGATGGATAGGGCACCCCTACTACCATCCCGTATGACAACTCTGTCTTCTCTAAAGCATATGTTTCCCAGTATAACTGGGGCTATCTGCACACCCACTAACAATCACGTTGCAGTAAAAGCAATAACATAGGGTTGTACTGTTTCAGATGATGCTACTAATTCTGGGAGCATATTGGTAGGACTACAGGCATTCGTGCAACACACCGACACCCCTACTTCTTCAACTGACTAATGGAAAGAGGTCTCGACAACATAGGTCTGCGACACCACGCCACCCGAAAATCCAGAAGTCTACATCCTTTTCCCATTTATCCAATAGAGTTTCGGGGTTGCAGGTATCGACGTTCGCGAGTTGTACGGATTATAGTAACGCAAGATCTTATACCAACAACTTCTATAGTGTTCGCACTTCGGGTACCAAAGATAAAGCAAAAGACCAGATTTTGTCGTCCAAAGTACGTAGTATATTTCGGGACCAAATCGCGGGTAGAAGTGAATGCTTAGCTAGCTGGTAATCGTGACACGACGGAGTACCAAATGGCGGGGATGCTTGATCGGAAGCCTTCAGCTAAACAAGTCGACTTAAACAGTGGTGGTCAGCATCCAATGCTGAGTGATGACTGCTGTGGTCAATAATTTTGGGGAATTATTTACCGCTACAAGAGCATTCATCCGATTCACTGTTACCTTTTTTTATTCTATCCACCAAATAGCCAATCTGTCACTAGTCTAAATTTTTACCCTTTTTCTTAGATTTGTTCTTGAGATTAATACTCTTCTCCATCTCGCTCCCTATTGCTATCTTCACTAGCTTCCGAGAACTTTCACTGTCATTTGTACTCCTTTTAGCGATTCTGCTTATCTTTCCTGTATGCAACCCGTTTGTTTTTTGGGTATTTTACGAATGACAGAGACAACTCACTGGATACTTTGTAGTCGTCGAAAAGTAGAATTTACCTTTTTGATTCTCCAAGGTTCCAGATAATCACATTGTAATTAGAACCAGGTTTCGCAACAGTAGTAATGGCTGTGGAGACCTTATTATTGGAGTCCACAGTTTTGTCCTCTTTGTGGTTTCTCCACTTCTAAATTTTCGTTATTGCCCAAATAGAGGTAGTTTCATCAACCATGCTCTTGCCTCAACTATGAGCCACCCGTTCATTCAACACACTTCGCTTCGTCCTAATAGTTTGAACACCTGGTCTTAGAGTGCTAGCACTACTTGTCCTCTTAGGTTTCCGAGACTTGGCACGAGTCCCCGCAGCAGATTTCCGGGCACCCTTTGCCTCTTCTGTGTTTGACATTTCAGGATGTAGTTCCATCTAAGTCTTATGACTCAGTTCAGAATTTTCATTCTTCACATCGATTTCAGATGCTGGCTTGTTTCGCTCACCCAAAGTAAGAGTCAGCTTATTGGGCATAAGAAGTCTCACGGCCTCTTGAATGAGAATGTCCAACAGATTGCTAGAAAATTTGTACACTCACTGAGCCAGTAGCTTACTACATCTCCTACAGGTCAGTCGTGAAAAACGAGTACGAACTTTATGAAAACAAAGGCTGCAGCTATCACACTGCTTCCCAATATCCAGTGGCAAGTGTCAGCCAGGCCTTTCATAGTTACTGGTGAGACTCACGTCGGCACAAGTTTTTCCATTTGCACAGACAAAAAATATGTGCATACCAAAACACAGAATGATGGAAGGATCCTGCGAAGTCACGAAAAGGCTAACGAAAAGCAATTCTGCAGCTGATTAAACCAGTTAAATAGAACCAGAAAGGCTTTTGGTGGGATTGACACGCTAAAAGAAGAAGTTACATCACGATACAATAATGCTACCCTCCTTTTTCAAGTGCAGTTACACACTCAGGATAGAATCTTAGCCCTCACTATCACGACTCAAGATATCTAATTATTAAAAAGAAATCAACACAGGCTCTAAGTCTTCTATTATCAATCAAAAGTTTCAATAAATGTCGTCAGTTTCGAATAAGAATTCCCAATACTTTAACATTTTTGAAACCCATGGGAAACACCACATTTCCTGTAGATGAAACTTTTTTGTTCATCGCAGATGTGCAAATTAACCATCTTTCAACTTCATTTAAATCTTCCTCATTAGGCTTAAAGTTTTGAATATTGGACGTTGTATTTGACCTGCAGCCCTGTGTCCTTGCCACGAGTCTGAGTGGTGTAAATATGACCAACTTTAACTCTTGGGAAGAATTTGCTAAGGCGGCTGAAAATCTTTACCTTGAAGATCCGTCTAAAGTAAATTAGCGCTAAATGCCTATTTATTTGTAGTGTCGTATGTGTACAAAGTACCGACATGTGGATCGAAAGCTAGTAGTAAAATTAACGGACGACCATACAGTAAGTATTTCTGTTGAAAAATATGTCAAAAGGTTTTAAAGTACGTAACAAACATGGCTCAGGATGTTAAAAAAGTTGAGAAACTGACCTCCCTGCTCATGCGTCACATGGCATCCAAGGAGAAGTGACTGAACTGTGATTATCATACAGAATGACCGAGATCACTCATTTGTGCTCTATTTTCAGTTTCTTCTAAGTTGTACATACTTTATTGGTTTTCATTTATAACTGGCATATGTATTTTTGGTTATAAAGTCCTGTAAAAACAACATAATCATAGGCTCATATACTGACTTTTGATTTCTGTACTCCTATTTATCGCATATTCCTCATATAGACAATTAATTATCACTAAACAGTGAAACGTTTAAGTAAAAGGTCGAGTGTATGCATGCATGCTTGCTGTCATTTCCTCATAGGAGCAAAATACGTATGAGGGCATTTAAACATGTAGTTTTTTTTAGTGAAAGTTGCTTCCCATGTGATGTTAACGACATTGCATGTTGTTTTATTTGAAGTAAATGGTGTACCTCATAAGAGGACCTTCGGCTACTTTTTCAGAATTATCGCACACATGCTATCCGCGAGATATCGTGTTTTTTTATTATGAGGTAATGCCACACATTTTATATTGACGTATTAAGTGATCCTAAAAGTAATTCACTATAGTAATGTTTTGCCATTTCCAAACAAAACTCTTCCTTTGAAGGCCCCAAAATATGTCTTAACACACCTTTTAATTAGAAGTTAACTTAGTGTTGCCATTGGCAAACTAATAAGAGACTGAATGATGCAGCAGATGTCAACAAGGGGATTTTTTCTACCTCTAGATTAACTTAACGTTTAAACTGGTATATTTTTCACTGCATCCCTCATTTCGAATAAGCCTGTCCTTTCGTTAAACTGGTAGTCTTGTGAACAATAATTTGTAGTCAAATGGAAGTGCTTCACTTTACTTGTATGTCGTTAAGTGCACTTTCTTTTTTTGCTGACGTGACATACTATACTTTGCCAAAATGAATTTTGCTGACCATAATTATATTGAGTTCAGATTTATGGTGTTTGACAAGTCAGTCAATTAATTTGTAAAACTACATTAATTTGAGCGAATATAAGAGCTTACACATGCTAAGCCACCTTTCTCTCCAACCAACATGAGAGTAGGAATATGTTGCAAAAGATAAGACGGTTGTTAGACCAAGACATGGTACGAGTTTATGAAGCCATTAGTCAATGGTTTGAGCAACGTACGGAGGTATACGCTGCGCCACTAGGATCCTTAAGGTGAATAGAATCATTAGTTGGAGACTTTGTGATATGACCAAAAATCGTTCTCTGTGGTGAGGATGCATTCACTCTATTATATTCCAAATTATGGAAATCATTCTCCCCAATTCTTAATTCCTCCGTAAATTTCGGTTCATTATAGTTCTGTTATTTCTTTCTTCATTACATTTGTGTCTTCTCCTGATCATCACCCACCTTTATCTACGCCACCAAAGTCATCTTGCTTTCCTCCTACTGTTAAAACTATTCTACAGATAGGTCCCTCTGTGACGACAGCCGGGAAAAACACTGCTGATGATCTTGAAAGACACGCCACTAACTTCATATTGGAGCATTTAACTTCAGGACCCTTTACCGAATCGCACAACAGGCATCACTAGCCAAAACTCTGGCATCTCGAGCTATGGATGTATTCTGTTTCAGTGACTCACATACAAAACTCAGGTGTGGTATTCATTCGACCCCACCTGGCCAAAAGGGTGGATCAGCAAAAGTCACGGGTGTTAGTAGATACTTCGGCTAGTTCGTGAGGACTTGCAGGTGTAAGGATAGCACCGAGTGCTGGGGCATAAAAATCCCCACTCTACTGCATCCTAATGGGTTGTCCGTATGTTTGCTGTTTTTCTGAACTGATCCGTTAGAAGAATGAAAGACTACATTACCCATCGATGTCCTTTCATAACCTCCATCTACGCCCCAGTCGACTGGAATCCGGAGATCTAACAAAAGCTCCCTGTTTTGCTGCTGAAAGCAAGACGCTCAGATGTACTCGTTTTAGCAGGTGATTTCAATATTCAAGTAGGGAAGTTGTCAGTCTGGGTACCTGCGGTGTTCCTTGCCGAAGAACCGATAATGGTGGTCGTCCTCTGCATTTCTGTTCCTTGTCAGTACTAGCTTCAATGATGGATCCGAGTAGACGACTTATTGGGAAGTTGTCTTTGGTGAGGGTCAGTAGAAAACTGCCGCTGTTTCAGCGACACGTGCATACACTCCGATCGCACTATGGTCTGTGCACGTTGATGCTTACGATTGAACGGATATAAAAACAGACTTAAATGAAGCCGTTACGCCTCCAAATTCGTCAGGATACTGCGTCGCTATTCAGGGGAAAATTAGCTAAACGACTATCTGAGACTGATGGCAAGAATCATCCTAATGAAGCCTGGCATTATATACAGTCAGCTGTAGATAGAGATTTAAAGGCTGTTGATAACCTAAAGCCAAAGGTTTTTAAAAGCCAGTGGATATCTGCTACATCATCCAAAGTGATAAACAGAAGAAGACTGATTGTAACGAACTAGGAATAGGATAGGCGAAAGCTGACAAAGTCTTCACACTGGCAGTGAAGCGTGGTGGGCGACAGTAGTAAGGGAGATGGAAGAGGCATCGGTGACAGGTAACTACTTAGGCTTATCAAGGAAAAAAATGTAAAAATGTAAATGATAAGTGAGACAACCTCGAAAAAAGTGGTGACCTAATTGGCTCTTAGGACAGGCGAATAGAACTTTGCGAGAAATATTTTGAGAAGCGCTTTAACTAGCCCGCACAAAGCCTCAACTTGCCCACTGTCCAACACCCATCTGAATGGGATGTAGACATTGATTATCCATTTGTAACTGAGGTTACAAGGGTATCTCTAATCTTAAACGAGGCAAAGCAGAAGGGCCTGATGAAATGACTCCAGAGGCGTTTAAGGACAATGATGGCCGATTCCTGCCTGGTTTAATTAAGACATTAGGTTATGTCTGGGAAGCAGAGATAGTTTTCTTCAGAGTGCTGTAGGTCGTTCATCATCCAAGTTTATCAAAATGGAGACGAGTCTCCCTGTGATAATCATAGTGGAAATAGCTTGACTGATGTGCTATTCTTAAGTGCTATCAACACGCCCATTATATGAGTTTGTAATACATTCAAAATTCGTTGGATGAGTTCTATATCACCTTGCATTAATAACCCCTACTTTTCATTTTACTTAAATATACTTCTCATCATAGCACATTTTCAGTTAACTGAGTGTTTTCAGTTTGTATTTTGACATCAGTACTCACATTTTAGGCAAATTACCGATTTCAGATTGAGATTTGGATTTATTGGTTGAGGATAGAAGGCTTGCAGCCTATGTTAATAGTTTTCTAGTAGATTTCTGTGCTTGTCTAAACCCTTCTTGAATGAATCAGTTGAGGTTGTAGACATGACTTCTTATGGGAGTCGGTATGAGATCCAGTACTCAACAGCAATATGTTTTCTCCTTGACTTTTGAACTCCTCTACTATGTCTTCTAAAGTGTTCAGACCTGGTGGGAAACAAACGTGTGAATAGGTCGCATCCGTGGTCATTATTTAAAATTTTAAACATTGTGATTAAATCTCCTCTCTGCCTACGATACGACAGGGAGAAGATATTTAAACTGTCTAGTCATTCCCCGTATGATAAGCTAGTCATGCCGAGAACCATACGTGTTACCTTCCTTTGAATCCGTTCTAGAATGTGTCCCCTTTAAGATAAGGACTGGTGGCCTGGATACAGTTTTCTAGTCTTGACCTCATTAGAGATGTGTATAAGTAGGTGAACATATCTCTGGTGATTCTAGTAAAGGCTTTGCGAATTGCTCATCAGGATTTGAAACTGCGTGCAGCCACCGCACGACAGTGTGCTGTAGTTTTTACATCGTGGCTAACTGACACCTAAATCAAAATGAGTGTGAACTGATGGGAGAGTTATTCCCTCTAGATCGTAGAAGCTGATGCTTGCTTGTCCGATGCGCATGGTTGCACATTTTGCTACATTGACCACGGGAATTCACTCTCTCGATTTATCTGACAATTTGTTCAGGTCCTCTTGCAACGTGGACGTATCACTGCTGCCCTTCAGCTCTCTCCAAATTTTTAAGTCATTTGCGTATAGGAGCATAGGGGAATCGGTGAGCAGAGATAACTCGTTGATATACAAAATAAATAAGGGAGGTCCGAGTACCATGCCTTATGGCACACCGCTACGCACTGCTGTCAAGGAGGGGAGTTTCGAGTTGATCCTAACCCTCTGTCTCCTACCAATGAGGAACTCCCTAATCCTGTGTAGTTAGGCAAAGTTCGCGCGTCCAAGATTGGTGCGGCACTACTAGTGTGGTGAGAGCTGTCTGTTAACCAAAATTGGTAGACAGCAATTTATGTCAATCTTTACGTCCCAAATCTTGGTCATGAGAAAAACAAGAACAAAGATTTAGCGTGGGTGGATACAATTCGCAGATATATGGTTTGATCTTCATAGAAACGGCTACAAAGAGGTGACAGATTAACTTACAGCGAGAAAACAACCAATCGGAAGACACTGTTTTCTGCTAATAATAACGAATAATAATGTTCATAAAAATGTATAAATATCTCTTGATTTCCTCAATGAACGATCTGTTGCCTTGCCCTTGTCCTTTGGCGTTACACTAGCTCCTTAAAACGCTCTAAAGATGAATAGTTGGCAAAAACAACACTGGAAATTTCTACTCTGATTTCTTCGAGAAGGCATCCCATGAGGACAACTGTGAAGCAATTAGACAGCTGCTTCAACACTAGAGGTGTAGACTTTGATCAACCTTCATATGATGACGCCACATGACTAGATATCCACAACGGGGGGGGGGCTCAGCGAAGATTCCGACGTGAAGAGAAAACTGTCTATTACCACTGAAGAAAGGCACATAACAGAGTCGACTTCATTTAGATTTCCCACATATGTAGTGATCGACTCTTGTTTTGGCTGTCTTTTCTGTCAGCTAATCAGTTTCGACTTCGAGTTTGTGCGATATGAAACACAAATCATCTGCAAAATCCAGATGTTCCCGGATCTTTTTATTGGTTCACAGTAAGGGCACTTTCAAGGATCTATCGCGTGGTCGAGTTCATCACAATGAGGGATATCTTAGGCGATAATAGTTAGTTCTCTCTTCATTTTAGACTCTCCGCTGAGTCCCCCGTTTTGAATTGCTAGGCATGTGGCGTCATCATAT